CCACAGCAACTACTTACCATTACCTGATGTGGTAAGTATTTGCACGAGCACACCAGGTCCAGGTGAACTGGGTGCTCGTTTGTCACCCTTATCCTATAAAAAGTTTGCAAAAAGTCTGAAGTGTATGAAATTACAGTGCGGCAATACGTAATTAGAGCAACCACAGAAGCACACACTTGTAAAGCCTTATGATAAATGGCAAATAATACCTGTTTTGCATGCCTTAAGCGCGAAGCGCTCAGGTATGTTCTGTTAGGGCCTAAAAATTAAGTCGTAATTAATTTCAACGTTTTAAATGATATAAAAAGCACATTGTCAGAAAGATAAATGATTGTTGAACTTATTTATTTATGCAATTACATCGTCCTAGAATGTTTTATTTGCTAATATGTTCCACCCTTAATGTAAACGACTAACAGTCGATCAAGTCGATAGAATCATTGCGAGTCCCCTCGGGCGGTGAATAGTAATAAATGCAACTCTATGTACACATCTTAGAGACCTATTTCGTAGTTAATCGATTATTGTGTTATTTTTTGTTGGGAATACTATTTACTTTATTTTTATTGAAGCAAACGCGCTCGCGCTTGCAATTTGTACGTGAAAAATCATTTAATTTGAAAATGGAAGGTTTTATTTTGTTTTACGTTACCGTGCGATTTAATGGCGTCTGGCGACTTTCATATTGTCTTCAAGCCACCGATTGATCGAGCGTTGAACTTTGAGTGTTCTTTGAGATGACATTGTGTTAGTGGAGGTGAGAAAACCCAGACTGAATTACAAAATGCGACTTACTAATCTGGACTTATATTACATTCGACATTGGGCGCGCGACCTTATAATATTCCCCTTAAACCCTCGTGCGTTCAACTTATAGATGACGTTGTAGCTATAAGGGAATGAAACCCCAGCATTTATTGACATACGCTGTTATCTGATTAAGTGAATAAACATTTTTGTGATCACGGGTATACTAGGCCTTTAGATGTAGTCTATTCTTATAAATAATAACTAGCGACGGGCCCTGCCTCTGCCTGGGTAAAGACCATTTATTTTATCAATTTGATGCGGCTTCTCATTACCTATACTTTACATCTGTAATAATATACGGGATAATTTTAAAGCGATCTATCAAAAGTCAAGAGATTTTTCCGGCATTTTTCATAATCACATCTTGCGACACTCAAGGGACGATTTGGGATGAAAGATTCTTTATATACCGTGACCACGCAAACAGTTATTTTATTTTTTCATTCATTCATTCATTCTAGCTCATCACAAGTATTGCTTCACTTGGCAGGCGGGTTGCCAACCGCAGCTTTTAATTATTTTGAGTTATCAGGAAGATGCTGTTGCCCATGTCCTGTTTCAGTTTCCCTTTGTTACCACTTACGACACCCAGAAGATGGGTTAGTGGATTTTCTTATGCCGACACAACACGGAAACGAATATCTATAATATAAAAATGAATCGCTGAATGTGTTGCTAGGCGCAAATCTCGAGAGCAGCTGAACCGATTTCGCTAATTCTTTTTTTATAATATTCCTTGAACTACGAAGATGGTTCTTACGGAGAGAAAAATTTGAAAAATTGCCTGAAACGGTCTAAAAATAACACTTTTCTATATTCCCATACAAAAGATTCGTAATAATACTTAAAAGTCAATACCATAAAGCTTAAGTGTTAGTGGAGGGGTTCTGGGAAGGCAAAACAATTAAACAATTGAGTGACGTTAGTATCGTATAAATATTAATGTCAATATTTATAAGATGGTAACATTACTCAAAAACAAAATTAGGGTTCCGCGCAAAAAAATTGATATCCATGAAATCGTAGTAAATTCCACGCGGGCGAAGTCGCGGGGCACAGCTAGTTTGTAATATAATTGTTTTTTTTTTAAATAGAATACGGGTACAAGGGAGCACACAGTGCACCTGATGTGTGTGTGAAGTGGATGGCAAGTGGCAAGAATCACAATGCGGATGTGTTGTCATCCCTGAAGAGTAAAGACTAAGAGGAAATTTCTCGTTTTCAGTGAAAAGTGTCTCCGGTTCTCCACAATCACCATACGAAACACACAGCGTTAAGTTGCTATTTTATGCTGGTGTTCTGTGGCTGCGTTTTCCTTCCGCCCCGGTCAAGCCGACACATTCGTGTTACAACTATGATATTGCAATTGCGTGGCCCTACCTATATTTAGGCAATTTTAGTTATTATTTGAATTTATATTTAGAAGATCAACATACTTTTATTTAATATTTTAGTATATCAAGAAACGAAATAACTTACGCGTCTATAAAAGGGGGTTTACTGAATTTATTACTTTCTGTTATACGAGTATATCAGAATTCGACTTCTGGCTTAGTCCTATACATACATACATATAATCACGCCTCTTTCCCGTAGGGGTAGGCAGAGACCACTTCTTTCCACTTGCTACGATCCTTACATACTTGTTTCGCTTCTTCCACTTTCATTATTCCCTTCATACATGCTCTACGGTTTAGGGTACTCTTGACCTGGCCTTTTTCTAAGACGTCCCTGATTTGGTCTAGAAATGTCCGCCTAGGTCTACCCCTTCCAACACTTTCATTCACACTCGCCTTATACACTTTTTTCGTCAATCGTTCTTCATTCATTCTCTCGACATGGCCTATACGTTCTTTAGTCCTATACGTTCTTTGTAAATTCAGGATTATCCAAATTTATGTCAGGATTTGTCGTAAACATGTCTGAAGATGATATTTCGAAAAGCTTATGCAAGGAATTTGAACATTATCTAGTCATAGTCGTTTCCATTTGAATACTGAATAAGCTGTTAGCTTTATAGGCTCGTTTTTAGAGTTCCGTACCCAAAGGGTGTCCAACGGGACCCTATTACTAAGCCTCCACTGTCCGTCCGTCCGTCCGTCTGTCAGCGGACTATATCTCATGATCCGTAATAGGTAGACAGTTGAAGTTTTCAACGAATGTGTATTTCTGTCGCCGCTATAACAGCAAATAATAAAAATTAAAAGGGGCTCCACTACCAGAAACTTGTATTACGATGGTACGGAAACCTTCACCCGCGAGTCCGACTCGCACTTCGCCGGTTATTTTACCTCTATGTCTGTCTGTTAGTAATACGGCAACGCATTCTGCATTTTAATTCTTAATCGAGAATAGATGTAGATGTTTGTGCACACAGTATCTACTTACCATCAGGTGGACTGTGTGATCATTTGTCACCCTTATTCTATAAAAAAAAATGTAGTTGTTAACTGCAATAATTCTAAAAATTGTCTCTCGCCTTCATGAAGTACCAATTACTCAAAAGCAAAGAATGTTGAATGTAAAACGTATAGTAAAATAAAGTGAGTTAAATACGCCGGAATGCCTATATAAACGTTTGAAACCACTTTACGTACCTATTTTAACATCTAAAAAATTCTTCGGGAATATATTTTATCACGGCTGTATTAATAGCAATCTACTAAATGTATATTATAATTGTAGTGGCGCTGTCGTACCGCCATAAGCGAAACACACCGAAGCCTAAATCACGCTATTAAAGTTCCGTCCCCCTTTTCTTCCATAGTCAATTAACAAATAATCGGCTGAACCTAGTTGTAGCTTGCTAAACCTAAGTATAAGCACACTTCGACTTTTAGCCGAATTTAACAGACAATATAAATTGAATCAAACATATTTATTGTATTTAGCAGCTTTATATTATTGTTTGAGGAATTTTGTGATTTATTTATGTATTTTGGGTAGATATGTAAGTTTTTTATATATTCATATATATATATATGTATGTATATCTATACATTATATGCATTACTTTATCTTTTATTATGTATTAGTAATTTATATCATTTCATGTATTAGTTATTTATTTGTTATTTTATTGCATTTATTGTCTATATATCGTATGTATTGATATTATATATTGTATATTTATATTGCACCACCTACCTAGTATTCATTGATTTTTTTCTTTACACCTTTGATTGTCTGGAAGAGATTGCTATGTAGCGATAAGGCCGCCAAATTGTACATTTAATCTGTCTTTTGTTATGTAATTTGTTTATTTGTTTGTGGTGTACAATAAAGTATATTCATTCATTCATTCATTTTTTTATAAAACTGAAGTGACAAACGAACTTACAATCCACCTGATGTTAAGTGGCTTCAGCAGTCCATTGAAGTTGTATATAGGTGTCAATACACCTATAGACAACTTCATACAAATAAGGCAGCAGCATCATCCTGATAACAACTCTAAATAATAAATAATTAAAAATTAAAAATTTTGTACAGCCGACTTCAATATAAGTTATTTAAGAATAACTTAAAAACTATTGGTCTGACCTTGATCAAATTCATATGGGACCACACGAGAAGTACCAGCTTTCAAATAAAAAAAGAATCATCGAAATCGGTTCACCCAGAAAAAAGTTCTGAGGTAACACACATAAAAAAAAAACGAAAAAAAAAAACGAAAAAAAAAAAACATACAGTCGAATTGAGTACCGGCTCCTTTTTGGAAGTCGGCAGAAAACTGCAATTGCCAACTGACCAAGGCAATTCATAGGATATGAGGCAATCTACAGGGGAGGCCTATGCTTAGCAGTAGACTTTTGATAGGCCGTAAATTAATTAATGAACATTTTGATACAAGTCAGGATTACAAACGAGCACACATCTAGCCTTGGCTAAGTATCAAAATGTATATTATGCGTTGTCACACTTCAGCTCTAAGATCGAATGTCTCATTATCAGTTATCAGGGTATCCGATTCCTGTCGGTAACCGTTAAAATATAGCATTATGCTGCTATTATAATGACAAAATTAATAATAAACGAGACTGAACGCGCAAATCTATTCATGTTAGACCTCTCAGTGTGTTATAATAAAGCTGCAGTGTAACTCTATCACATAAAAAGTAGTTAATATCATAGTTAGTTTCACTAGTGCATATTAAGAAATCTAACGACTCTATTTAATTTCAGAAAAGATGGAGGAGCGCGACAAGGAGGAGGGCCCCGGCGTGCCCGACATGACAATGATGCCGGAGATCACCGAGTGCGCCATCAACGACAACCTTAAGCGGCGCTACATTCACGACCTTGTATATGTATCCTTTAAAACATCACTATTATGACCGTAAATGTAATTAATTATATCTAGGCCATTAGGTGTATGAAAAGGAAAAATCTGAAAACTGCAATTTATTAATTTATTCGTTGTCGACAAAGTTGTGGTGAGTTTCAAGTAAGTACTGTACCTAAAACTTTACTAATTTAATATAATTTTGAATTTAAAAGTAGAAAACAGTGAAACATAAACGCAAAACTAAACGTTAAAAGTCATACATTTATTTGAATTAATAAAAGGAGATAACATTTTTTAATACATTCATGATACCCCACCAAAAACATAAATGTGAAAAGGGGGGGCAAGTTCGGTGCAAACGACTTTAATGGATGTGTACATCGCCGATAAAACAGTTAAGATCTAAACGGGCGCCAAGCTTCATAGCAGTTACAAGAATTTATACGTTAGATAGATCCTATGCTTTAAGAAGAGGGTTTCTGCATGCATAAGATTTATTTGAGAGACATTACTTTGACACTAACAATACGTAAAGGAAACATAAAAATTTTAAATAAAATTAACTCAATAAAGTCCCGTGTAGTGGCGGGTAAGAATACCCACTACCCGATATCTTCCCGCGGGTGTCGTAAGAGGTGACAGAGGGAGACTGAGGCAGAAGATGGGCAGCAGCATCTTTCTGATAACAGCAGAACAACAATAAAAAACTGCGGTTGCCAACCCGCTCGCCAAGCGTGGCATTTATGGCAATATACCCCCCATGATTAAAGTTATGAAGAGACGGCCCTCAGTCCCCGGCGGCCCCGCTATTCCTGGCTATGGTGGCGACCATGGAAATGGCGGGGCAGGGGGTGCTAAGAATCTCCGGTTGAGGTTCGGTTGCCACCTAAGACGACTTGACCTGGCAACATAACGCACGCACCCTGAGAACTGACGAGAAGATCCTGGATATACGAGTACATTACAAAAAGAACATACCATCGAATTGTAAACACCCTCCTTTTTTAAAATCGGATAAAAAGCTACCTTGTGCGTTTGTCTTTATTAGAACAACCTACGTTTTATTGTCACTGCCATCACTGCCATATAGCTGTTATTAAGATAAATAGGTCATTTTTATTACGGTTACTAAAATAGCTACAGCTTTATACATATTATTGTTATTGCAAATATTTTCCTCTTGTAAACAATGATTTCAATTTAATATGTTATTGTTGCTAAACGGTTTAAATTCCTGACACAAATAACCAGACGTACACGGGATCCATCCTGGTCGCGGTGAATCCATACAAGGAGCTAGGATGTTACACAATGGTGAGTTAAATCTTCCGGTATTCTATTATCTGTGCAAATATAGCAATTTATTTATATGTAAAGAAACTATACATTAAGATATGGAATCTATATTTGATATTTGTCATTAGTTCTGATCAGCTATCGATATTGTAGCGGATGAAAAAGATATACTATTATGCGCAAGGATTAGTCATTGGTTAAGGGTCTTGATTTTTTGAAATAGTCAATCTCACACAAACATGGTCTAGCTTAACTTTATCCGTAGATTGCGGGACCCATGCTATGAAATGAAAATTATTCATTGCCGTTAAATACTCCGACTAAGATCACAGTAGAGAAGTGGAATAACCGTCTCTTGTTTGTATATCTCTGTTTAACCTAATGGTTGACTGGGAGAGAATGCCCCTTGGCATTAAATCCGCAATATGTACAACTTTGTGCATGAAAGATTTAATTAATAAATAATGTGCCAGCGTGTCTTTCTTACAACTTTAAGACAAAAGTGAAATGGCTTTTGTTTATCTAAGTTTGTGCTTTACTATCTTTGGTTGCATCACCACCTACCATCAGATGGGATAGTAGTCAAGTACTGCCTTATAATAGTTAAAAAAAAATACTTAAAATATTGAGATGAATAGAGGTGTACGGAAGGGACGCCCTAGGCGAAAGTTTATCGACCAAATTGGCGATATATTGAAAATGGGCCAAATCAAGAGTACCTTTAACCGACGAGCGTGTATGCGTAGGTATATGGATGTGGAGGAAGCGAGAGAGGTGTGTCAGGATCGTGCCAAGTGGAAGTCCATAGTCTCTGCCTACCCCTCTGGGTGACAGGCGTGAGTGTTTATGTTATGTTAAAATATTTGTCCTAGGTCTCATTTATGACAGTTGTCGAATAGCGGATTCACAGACACGGCTTGTTATTTTTATAACAATGTTGAATTATATGGCACAATCACACTTTTGCAGGAGGACATGCAAAACTATAGGGGTAAAACATTCGGGAGTATGCCGCCGCACGTTTTCGCACTGGCCGAGTCTGCGTACAGTTCCTTACAGGTGAGGTTTATAAATATTACATTATGAACTATATTTTATATAATGATTTATTATATTTACGCAAACAATAGTAGTACTCGTAGTGTAGACATAACTAGTGTTACAGATTATATCGCATTTAATTTTACTTGCGCCCCGTGATCATTGGTGCTGCAAAGCACCCGAAACGTCGGGTTTGTCAAGTAAAATTAATCTGTAAAACTAGTTTTATTTAATATATCTATTTTATATGTCTTATTTTAGAAAAAAAAACATTAAAACCCTTTTAATTAACATGATATCAATAAAACGTAAATGAAATAATGTTTATATATTAAAAATGCTATTACACATCGATAAAATAAATTAGCGTGTTTATTTGCCACCAAACCACGTTTTATTTCTGCCGAATAAATTCTTACCAATGCTAAAAAAGGTGAAGTAACAGCGTACATTTTATGTCCCTCTGAGGAGCATTTTATGTCTCATTCGTGAAAGAATTTTGAAACAATAAAGAATCCGTCGGCGAAACTTAAATGCATCCAAAATATTTTAACTTATTTAAAGTTGCAGGATTACTCACAATGTTTACATACACCAATACCACCAAATACGTGGTAAATCCACAAATAAAGTTGCATCTGATAATTTCATTAGTGCCGGACGGTATTGAACACGGTTAGCTCACGTTCTATGAAATAATAATTGAGGGCTTATCTTCAAAATTACCACGGCTCATGTTAAACAAAATAATCTTTCAAAGTTATACAGTTATTACAAAGTAGTAGTATTTGAAATAATTATGATCCACTCAATTATTAAATTAATTACTCTTTTGTCCAATTTACCCCAAAATAAAATTTATCATCATCATCATTACAGCCCTTCACAAGTACACTGCTCTACATAGGCCTCTCCCAAAGAATGTCAAAAACATGGTATTGAGCCACGTGCTTATATCAACTTCTCGCATTATTCCCAGATTTGAAACTGGCAACCTTCCTTTCCCATTCCATGTCGGACTTTCGAGCTATTTGGCCGGCCCCTTGTCACTTCAGCTTACTGATCCGTTGAGCTATGTCGTTACAGATTCTTGCTACATATAAAATAAAATCACTCAATAAATAAAGTTAATGTTTTATATATTTATTATTACTGTTAGAACGGCGAAAAGAACCAGTCGGTGGTGATATCCGGAGAAAGCGGCGCTGGCAAAACGGAGACCACAAAACTCATACTGCAGTACCTGTGTGCAGCAGGTGGACAAGCCACCTGGGCCGAGCAACAGATTCTCGAGGCAAACACCGTACTCGAGGCTTTCGGTAAACTACCACATCACACTAAGTATTAAGTATTAACAATAACTTCATAATTTTTCAACAATAATTTAATTATTATAAATAGAAGATTATACAATGAAACTGATCACTACACCGTATTAAGCAGTGTCGCTTGTTGGTTCGTATAGTTATCTATTTTGGTGTTATCCTTTATGACATCTAGGTTACAAACACGTGCAGTAATGTTGTACTATTACTGCACGTGTGAAATGACCGGTGCATATACAGTATGGTCGAATTGTAATTGCGCCACTCTAAGTGTGTTTTACTGCTGTAAATATTATTGATTGTTTAAGCAATAAAAGGTGTTGAGCATCCGCTCTCACACAATATTTTTGAAAAGCATATTTAATTGACATATTTTTACTTACACCCCATTTCATTTTTTTTTTATAGAATAAGAGAATAAGAAAACCAACGCACAGTCAATTTGATGGTGAGTGGATACTGTGGTCCAAAGACATCTACATTTATTCACGACTAGCTGTTCCCCGCGACTTCGCCCGCGCGTAATTTATTACGATTGGATTTCATGGCTTTACATTTTTTGCGCGAAACCCGAATTGTTTTTCTAAAAAAAAAGTAGCCTTAGTTACTTCTTATAACATCAGCTATCTGCCACTGAAAGTCCGGTCAAAATCAGTCTAGCCGTTTCGGAGATTAGCCGGAACAAGTAGACAGACAGAAGGACAGACAGACATAAATGTTAAAAATCGTGTTTTTGTTATAAATACTGTATATACTTTCATATGCATATAGTAAAAAGCTCTTATTTCTACATTACAAACGGACAATTTAATTTTGTTTATTTGTATAGAATATAGATTAATAATCAAAATGCAGATGCGTTGTCACCCCTGAGAACTAAGATGGAATGCCTCGTATGCAATAAAAAGGGTCTCCAGTTCTCTACACTCACTATACGAAACACAACAGGATCAAGATGCTATTTTACGCTGATATTCTGTGAGAGCGTGGTCCTTCCCCGGTCGAGCCGAGCTATTCGTGCTACAACCATAATATAATATGACTGCAGCATGGCTCTACCGTCACAAAACAATAGTACGCATTACGATAACTAGTGTGGTCGTGATTACAGGCAACGCGAAAACGGTCCGCAACGACAACTCGTCCCGATTCGGCAAATTCGTCGAGGTGAGACTGGACCACCGCGGCGGCATCCGCGGCGCCGTGTTGCGCGACTTCTTGCTGGAGCGCGCGCGCATCACCGGCCCCGCGCCGCGCGAGACCAACTATCACGTCTTCTACCAGCTGCTCGAGGGAGCCAAGGTATGTATTTATTTATTTAGAATTTATTTCCATAAGTACAAAAAAGGCGGATTTAAAGCAACAAGGCATTCTCTATCAGTCTACCTCCAGGCTAAGCAGAGAAACTATTAGATGCAAATTACTTCGTTAAAAATATATGTGTTCATATAATTTATGATTAATAACTATATACCAAGATACATAGGTATTAAAAACATCCAATAGAATGTCCTCCAGAATTTCGGTCACGGTGGCCAGCCTCAACGGAAACTAGCCATCGTCGCAGGACAGGGTTATAGTGCCCAAGTGTATACGCAAGCACAGGTGCGCTCTCTATTCCCTCACTCTCATAGTCCGATCTGACGGTAAACCCACACGACCAAAGAAAGATCAGGCGCAGGACCGACGACTTTACGTGCTTTCCGAGGCAGGTGAAACACCGCCAACTTCCTGACTCCGGGCAGCTTCTGAGAATATCAATATATATAAATTAAATAATTCAATATATATATTATTTTACGTGGTAGAGTCATGCTGCAGCTATATTAATAGTATAGTTGGAGCACAAATGGGTCTATGGGCCACAGCAACCACTTACCAGCAGGTGGACTGTGTGTTCGTTTGTCACCCTTATTCCATAAAAAAAAACACCCAATATATATAAATATACATACATATAAAATAAATACTTCATCAGCGTACTCTATTTCGACTAGGTAATATGGCTCCTTCTCCGCCTAGGAGTTCTCTCAGCAGGTTCTAACCACCCTCGTATCTTTTTTCAGTTGCTAAGCAACAGTGGGTAAGAGAAGTATGAAAACAGGTTGTGAGGCATACAATCTTAATCGTCAGAGCTGATAATGCTAGCTCTGTTTGAAGTTAGTCCATGCGCTGAAGTTGTCTTTTATATTAGACTGTTAACTTGTTCGTCACTAAAAATGATAGAATGCGCGAAGGTATATGGTATGTTAACGACTTCTACCAGCTATAGAGATATTATCCATATCCATATAAATAAATAAAATTGAAGTTTCTGTTTGTAATGTCAAAATAACAGCATTTTACTAAATGCATATGAATGTATATACGGTACTTATAACAAAAAAAAAACGATTTTTAATATTTTTGTCTCTCGGTATGTCTGTCTGTTTGTTTCGTCTAATTTCCATAATGGCTGAAGCGATTTTGACGTGACTATCACTGGCAGATAGCTGATTTTATGAGCACCTTAGACTACTTTTATTATACATAATTTAAAATTAAAAATTTTGTACAACCGACTTCAATATAAATTATTAAGAATAACTCAAAAACTACTGGTCAGACCTTGATCAAATTTATATGGGACCACATGTGAAGTACCAGCTTTCTAATAGCAAAAGAATAATCGAAATCGGTTCACCAGAAAAAAGTTATGAGGTAACACACATTAAAAAAACATACAGTCGAATTGAATACCGTCTTCTTTTTGAAGTCGGTAGAAAAATAATTAGGGTTCCGTGAAAAAAAATATCAAAACCCATGAAATCCAATCGTAATCAATTCCATGCTGTTGAATTCGCTGGAAACAGCTAGTATAGTCTTTTGTAATTAGTATATTCTGTGTTATATATATTAAGTATAAACTTTTATTCAATGGACGTTAATTCCATTTACTGCTTTATTGAATCAAGTCAACAGTTAATCGCGATTATCTGTTATGTCTACATTTCACAACGTTATTTATGATTAAATGATCCTGAAAAAGAAATCTCAAACCGATTTCATATTTTCAATTTCATTCAGATGTTTGTCGATAACTTAATTACCTGTGCCTCGTGGCCACGTGAAATTCATGTAATGACATATTAATGAATCAAAATTTAAATTTCTCATTCGATCAATTGTAGAAATCTATTTGTGAATTGCGCCCTCCGGAGTAATACACCCCTCATGCGTTCCCTTCCCATATCCCATTACTGGCTTACTCAGTGTTTCTCGGAATGAAAATATTCGCTATATTCCTTAGTTTAAGGTTCGAATTGGCAAACATTCCGGTTTTTATTATATTTTTTATGATTTCGATTTCAGCTTACAATGATTAATAGATTCGGCATACAGATTGGCACTAGCCGTAATTAATTAAAAGCGTTAATGTTCTATCATGTATTTCTAATGTGGTGACAACTTTATAAAATTTAATATCCTGTTTTATCTTGTGAGATAGAAAGATCTTCCTCAATCAAAGAGGAAAATGTCGGAAATCACGTAGTCTCCGACGTCGACGACTTGTCGGATTTTCTTTAATTCTGATTAATTAATAAATATCTTGTGCAACCTATTCCGACCGGTGTTAAAACTATTAAGGAATCATATCGCCTTAAATTGTAATAATTATATTTTTATATATAGTAGATGGTCGCTAAAGTTTTTTATTCTCACACGTCAATATCATCAGCAACTAAAATATAAATTAGAAGAATTTTATATTATTAATTTTTATTATTTTATATTATTATCTTCTTTTTTGTTTCAAGCACAATGCGGAGCTTCGTTCGACTCTCCGTCTGCGCGAAAATGTTCAATACAAATATCTCCGTATGGACGACGTTGAAGCACACAAAGGGCGGGGCGGAGAACAGGGAAAGCTGGAAGCTCTGCAACTGGCTCTCACCGTACTGCAAGTGCCTCCACACATGTGTGAGGGCCTGTTCAAAGTGCTGGCGGCTGTTCTTTGGCTAGGGAACATACAGTTTCAGGTAGTTTGAATATGTTTACGGCTGATTATAGCACCCCCCTCCCAAATCATAGGGGGAAGGGGGAATTTTTCCATAGTTGCCAAGCTTTGCTGTCGGGTTGGCAAGCGCAGTTTTATTTTTTATTTTGAGTTGTTTTCACGAAGGTCCCATCTCCTGTTTCAGTTTCCCTTTGTCACCTCTTATGACACCCACAGGACGATATAGAGATGTGATTGGTTCTTTATCTTAAATAAAAACGTTACCTTCACACTAGGATTATCTTCTGTATCGTGGGGGCAGCTTACAAACATAAATTTCACAAGGACAAACATCCAGACCCGGAACAATTATTTATAGAACATATAAATACTTGTTCCGTGTGGGATTCGAACCCGCGGCCCTTAACGGAGCAACTCGTTGCTAAGCCACTGCGCCACGGAGCGGATTATTCTTATACCGCGACAACACGGTACAACACCAGAGGCATAAAAGTAATGAACTTAAATTCGGCTTGAAGGATCGTCATTTCCTTCATTGTCCTGTCATGTCCTTCCCAGAACAGAGGTTTTTTTCTAAACCCGTGATAAAATTAAAAAAAAATTACTTTCCGTAAGATCATCATCATCATCATCATTACAGCCCTTCATAAGTCCACTGCTGAACATAGGCCTCCCCCAAAGAATGCCACAAAACACGGTCCTGAGCCACCTGCATCCATCGACTTCCTGCATATCTTACCAGGTCGTCACTCCATCTCGTGGGGGGACGCCCTACACTTCGCCTACCGGTACGAGGCTGCCACTCGAGAACCTTTCTTCCCCATCGGTTGTCGGTTCTTCGAGCTATATGGCCGGCCCACTGCCACTTCAGCTTACTAATCCGTTGGGCTATGTCGGTCACTCTGGTTCTACTGCGGATATCCTCATTCCTAAGTTTATCACGCAGAGAAACTCCGAGCATAGCCCTCTCCATAGCTCGCTGAGCGACCTTGAGCTTCCTCATACGGCCAGCAGTGAAGGACCACGTCTCAGTTCCGTAAGTCATCACTGGCAACACGCACTGGTTGTACAATTTCGTTTTAAGGTTTTGAGGTATGTCTGACGAGAAGATGTGTCGTAGCTTCCCGAACGCTGCCCAGCCGAGTTGAATCCGTCGATTGACCTCTCGGTCGAAGTTGGACTTACTCAGTCGGACTATTTGTCCCAGGTAAACATACTCGTCAACAACTTCGAGCTTAGTGTTCCCAACAACTATCGGCATAGGTGTGACATGGACATTAAACATGATCTTAGTTTTGTCCATGTTCATCTTAAGACCTATCCGTTGGGAAACACTATTGAGGTCATTGAGCATAGTGCTTAGGTCCTCCAGCGATTCTGCCATAAGGACTATATCGTCGGCAAATCGAAGGTGAGTGATGTACTCGCCATTGATGTTGATACCGTATCCTTTCCAGTCCAGAAGCTTGAAAACGTCTTCCAATGCAGCGGTGAAGAGTTTCGGGGATATGACGTCACCCTGTCTTACACCTCTCTGCAATTGGATAGGTTTTGTACTCTGGTTCTGTACTCGGATAGCCATCGTAGCCCTACTGTACAAGCACTTCAGCACTTCGATATACCGACAGTCAACTTGGCACCGCTGAAGGGACTGCAGCACCGCCCAAATTTCGACGGAATCAAAGGCTTTCTCATAGTCCACATACGCCAGACATAGTGGCAAATTGTACTCTTCGGACTTCTGTACAACTTGCCGAAGGGTATGTATGTGGTCTATGGTGCTAAAGCCCTTTCGGAAACCGGCTTGTTCGGGAGGCTGGAAGTCGTCAAGTCTGCGCGCGAGACGATTCGTAATGACTCTCGAAAACAGCACGTAGACGCGGCTCAGAAGGGAAATCGGTCTGTAGTTCTTCAAGAGAGCGTTGTCACCTTTCTTGAAGAACAAGACCACCGCACTTCTGCTCCACGCCTCCGGTGTAATGCCACCATGGAGGACGGAATTAAAGAGCTTCTGAAGGACTTCAAGTACCGGTCTTCCACCCGCTTTCAGAAGCTCCGCTGTAATTCCATCCTCGCCTGGGGCCTTACCGTTTTTAAGGTGCTGGAGAGCCATCCTAATCTCGCTCAGACTGACATCCGGGATATCTTCGGAATAGTGTCGGATGAGACTCGCTCTTGGATCGTTACTCACACTTGCGTGTGGCTCCAACGATGATGTGTACAGCTGCCCATAGAACCTCTCAATCTCACTCAAAATCTCAGGTGTCCCGGAAACGATGCTGCCACATTCTGTCTTCAGCTTTGACAGTTGGCTCTTTCTGGCAGACAGATCTCTGGCAAAGACTTTGGAGCCTTGGTTCCGCTCGATCGCTTCTTCAATACGAGCTGTATTGAAGTTGCGTAAGTCCCGCCGCATGCATTTGGAGATCTGTCTGTTCAGATGCCTGTATGCTGTCAAGTCTGTTGAAGAATGTAGCTTCATCTCCCGTCTAACAGCCATGAGATTAAGAGTGTGATCGGAGAGTTTTTGTGTTCTTCTGCGGCGGGTCTTGCAGAACTTAGCTCCAACCGCATGGACAGTTTCCACGAGCTTGTCATTCATATCGTCCACTTCATTGCAGTCTTCTAGGCACTGAAAACGGTTTTGTAACTCGAGCTGAAAGGTTTCGGGACTTTGAAACAGAGCACGAGGGGGACGGAGCGTTGACTTCATTAGACGAGACCTCTCCAACTTAACGTTTAGGTTCAGTGTGCCTCTAACCATTCGGTGATCGCTACCAGTTTTCACCCTCGCGATCACGGAGACATCACTGAACAGTTGTCGTCTGGTCGTCATAATGAAGTCAATCTCATTTTTTGTGGAACCGTCGGGGCTCGACCAGGTCCACTTCCTGTGGGGCCGCTTCTGGAAGAAAGAGTTCATCATAAAGAGTCCCTCTTTCTCCATGAAGTCGGCCAGCTGCTGGCCCCTTGGGTTCCGTTGCCCTATTCCAAATTTCCCTACTTTCAGCTCACCGTTCTCTCTTGTGCCTAGTTTTGCATTGAAGTCTCCCATTAACACCGTATATTGGGTTTTGGAGGAATGCATGGCTCTAGAGATATCCTCATACATTTCCTCCACCTCCTCATCGGGGTGTGCCGAGGTTGGTGCGTAAACCTGTATGACCTTCAGCGAATACCGTTTGGTGATTCTGAGTATAAGGTACGCAACCCTCATCGACACACTCCCGATTTTTACAACGTTGTTAACGAGAGACTTGTGGACGATAAATCCGACACCTCCTTGGGACAGATGGTCGCCCTCCCGGTGATAGAGCAAGTTGCCGGATTCGAGGATTACCGTGTCCTCCCCCTCTCTTCGGACTTCAGATAATCCTATAATATGCCAGCGCAACTTGTCTATCTCTTCTTCCAGCTCCACGATCTTCTCGTCAGTCCTCAGGGTGCGTGCGTTGTACGTTGCCAGGTCGAGTCGTCTAAGGTGGCAACCGAACCTCCACCGGAGATTCTTAGCACCCCCTGCCCCGCCGTTACCATGGTCGCCACCGTAGCCAGGAATAGCGGGGCCGCCGGGGACTGGGGGCCGTTTTTTTGTTGCTCTCATCATTGGGGGGTATTTGCCATAGTTGCCACGCTTGGCGAGCGGGTTGGCAACCGCAGTTTTTTTATTGTCATTTGGCTATTATCAGGAAGATGCTGCTGCCCATCTCCTGGCTGTTTCCCTTTGTCGCCTTTTACGACATCCACGGGAGGATATGGGGTAGTGGATATTCTTGACCGCCACTACACGGCACACCGTACATTCCGTAAGATCACTTAATATCAATATTGAATAAAAATTATTCTATTCTATTTTATTCATGACCAACTGTAATATTATAATTTTTATTTTAGCTTGATAATGACTTATTATTTTCGTCTTTTGTCCAAGCTTGTGCAGTTAACATTAATCTGGTGGTATTTGCAGGACGTGGACGGCGAACGAACCGCTTTATGTCCGGAGGACACAGAAGCGGTGGAAGCGGCCGCCAGTCTGCTGGGGCTGGCGCCGCCCACAGCGCGCCGCGTGCTGCTCGAGCGCCAGATCAACGTGCGCGGCAACGTCACCGACATACCGTTGCGTCTGCACGAGGTCAGTGCGCATTGCCGGTACTATTGACATGTTTTGGTCGGGTTATTACTCACTTAGGAATCCGTAGAAAGATGATGACTTCAACACGAAAATTAGCAAAGAAATGGAGATAATTCGGAATTCGTTCGTTCGTAGTTCGTTCGTTTTTCCGAATTTCCCGGGATATACCACCGGTAGAGACTACTACATGGTGCTTAGAAGTCCAGCAAATCTTGTCACGGTCAATAAATCGCTTGGTTGGCGAAACCATTATATTTTAATTAAGTCTGTTAATAAAGGCTCGATGGACCAAAAATATTCCTTTGAAAAAAAAAAGGAATATATTATTATATATTAAATATGTTTTTATATGTGTTTATTTTTATATATAAAAATATGTAAAACTTTCGAGAGTGTGAAGTGAAGAGACTAGAAGTAGAAGAGAGGAGAAGAGGAAACGATTCACCTTTTGCCTGATGCAATCCACTTTTTGCCGTACCGCGACTAAAGTAGTTTGATATGAAAAGTTGGCGGAGCTGCATATGAAGAAGTTGGCAACGTTGTGCAGGCGCGGGAGAACCGGCACGCGATGGCGCGCGCGCTGTACGCGCGCACGTTCGCGTGGCTCGTGCGCCACGTCAACAGCTGCTCGGCGCCCGGCCGCGACGCGCCGCGCGCGCTCGGCGTGCTCGACATCTTCGGCTTCGAGAACTTCGCCACCAACTCGCTCGAGCAGCTCTGCATCAACTACGCCAACGAGAAGCTGCACATGTTCTTCAACAACTACGTGTTCGCGCTCGAACAGGAAATTGTAAGTGTACCCACCATATAAATAAATATATCTGCATATAAACAAACGCAAGTTAATTTGACAAGCCTAATCCGCAATGTTATGTATTCTTTTATGCATTAAACTATTAATAAAAAATGGATTATTAGATACATCTGTTTTAAATAAACATATTCAATCATTCACAAAATTGCTCAACATGTGTTATGAATGACAAAATTTTGTATTATTTTATTATTTCTATAAATTTTTTTATTTAAATATTTATTTCTATAAATTTTTACAATAAAAATAATATCCTCCTGCCATATTTGCAATCAGTTTGACAACTTTAGATTAATCGGAACCTATTAAGTGCATAGGATGTACAGTATCATAAGTGCATTTACAAACACAGAGGCACTAACTAGTCCTTGCCTACCCTGTATACCACTTATGCGATAAAATAGATGGTAAGTCAGAATACATACAAACAAACGGAAAGATAACACAACAAAACAGATCCGAAAACTAACAATTAGTGTTAAAACTAAAATTGGCTCTTGTTGGGATTTGAACCAATTATCTGAGAAATAGCAGTCCGATTTAATAAACTATGTAATCGTCACTTTCATGAGCAATTATAATTTTGCATATTTATTTTTAACGCATTGGTTAAATATTACCTTATTTTTTATTCAATATTTTTTTCCAGTATCGGCAAGAAGGAATAATTTACAACCAAATACAATTTACGGATAACGGTGCTTGCTTAGAACTGTTAGAAAAACCGCCAAGGAGCTTGCTGAAGTTGTTGAGTGAACAGTGCCACATGCCAAAGGTATAACTAAGAGATACTTTTATATACTGGCTTTGACTTTATCAATATCTAAGGTTGCTGATTTTCTTAATGCATTTAATGTCTAATTTTTAAATATTGCAAATGACATTCGGCTAAAATTTTACTAAAATCTTGCCCTTTCGAACAGAATCTAAAATAAATATTATATCATATAATACAATTGATAGAATTGATATTATGCTGAAGGAAATAACGTAGTTATTAAAAATTCGCATTTTTCTAAAAAAAACATATCATTTACTTAAAAATGTCATCCGAAACAGTCTACGTTTTGAAATATGAAATTTATAATGATTTATTTTCAGGGCTGTGATAGCGCTTACTTAACAAACATACAGAGCGAATTTGGTGATCACCAGAGCTTTGTGAAAGGCTCCCGTAGGAAATGGGAAGAGGAGTTCGGAGTGCAGCACTACGCTGGCACTGTCACGTATAGCGTTCAAGGCTTTGTTGACAAGAATAGGGATACTCAGCAAGATGCATTTATCGATCATCTCAGTCGATCTGCTAATCCGTTCGTGAGAGAGCTGGCAGATTATGCTCAGGATCTAGCTCCTCCTGGAAATGTAAGTATCATTTTTATTCTTTACTTTTTAATTATTAATATTATGCCAGTAATATATAATTCTATTTTCGTTAAGTTTTATTGGTCCTACGAGCCGGATATATGTCATTATAAAATTTTTGATTTTTAAAAATATTTTACTTTGCGAAAATGACCAATAAATGTTAAATAATTTGCAGGATATGTCACTTTCAAGTCCAGGTTCTACAAGCACTACGCAACGTGGTACGTCTAAGGGTCGTCCTACAGTCGTTGATACGTTCCGAGCTCAACTACAGTCACTTGTTGATATGCTTCAAGCTACTGACGTTTGGTATGTAAAGACTTGTAATAATTTATAATGACTTATAGAAATAAGATATTCTGTAAATTGAAAAACTTTATAAGCTATATAATTTATGCTTGTGATTTAATACAAATATTACAATATGGAATATAGTAGAATGACGTCATAGATTTCATAATGAAAATAGTAGTAAAATAGTCATCAAATTTGTATATTTTACAATACTAAAATTATAAGTGTCGTCCAAGTTTCGAGACGAGGTAGATGGTGTAGTTATTTATTAATGGTCGCAGTGTCCAACTTCCCAAATTTTTGTGATAGAATTTCCCATACGTAATGTAAGTTCAGTTTCCCCTGGCGACGTTTGCAAAGCACGATATTGGTGTTCAGGTACGTGCGGTGCATAAAGCCGAACGAGAGCAAGGTGGCGGGCAAGTACGACGAGCAGCTGGTGCGCGAGCAGCTGCGCTACCTGGGCATGAACGAGATCGTGCGCATCCGGCGCGACGGCTTCCCCGTGCACCTGCCCGCGCCCGCCTTCCGCGCGCGCTACCGCTGCCTGCTGCCGCCGCCGCGCCCCGCGCACCCCGACGTGGCGTCAGTGCACTTTCCTTATGTTATTACTCTTTTCAACCGGAAACTACTTTAGGATTGGGGCTTAAAGAACAAGCATCCAAGCCAAATTTCTTAATAAAAAAAAACTTTAGAATCGTTGTAATTTGAAACTCAATGAAACGAAAATCTAAAACTAAAAAGAGACAAATATATACATCTGTAGGATTTAGGCTGCGAGAGAATGAAATAGAATACAATATACAGTGCTTATTATAAATTTATTTATATTTTCATAGCATAAACCCTACAATTATCTTACTCTTAATACTCTGCATTTGTGTCATTCTCTCAAAGTTTTGTTTTCTGAAGGTTTCACTTCTACCGCATGTGAACTGCACACGTTTTTTTTTATAGAATAAAGGTGACAAGTGAGCACGCAGTCCACCTGATTGTAAGTGAATACTGCGGCCCATAAACTTCTACATCTATCTATTCAAATAAATAAGATTGAAGTGTCTGCTTGTAATGTTACTCTGTTTCTCAGCCTTGGTTTGGTCGCTCCTGTAAGACTGTATTACGCAGTAAGCAGAAGGTTATCAGGCCTGGGCTGAGGCTTCGGCGGCTCGGGATGTAAACACCAGCATGCTTAAAAAGAAGTATAACTTCGCCTCCAGGTCCTTCAAAAGAATAATTATTACCATAGCAAAGTATGAGCACATTGGCAGAATTGGCAAGAAACTAGTTCGCCTTCGTTCGGAAACCCGTGCATTCAGGTCTCTCACCAAGGCTATTCAAGGGAATTTCTGTAAACCATCACTACCATATCTGTACAGGGTGGATGACTCACTGGTCCACGCCGCAAAAGAGAAAACCGATCTTTTAGGCTTCCTTTTTGCGTCCAACTCGACTCTATGACGGGGGGAACACACCACCGACCATCCCGCAGTGTGAATGCTCTATGCCTGATGTGCGTTCATACAATGCTCAGTATGCAAAGCACTCCTCTCCCTGGACATACACAAGTCGAGTGGGCCTGACGGAATCCCGCTAAGTGTTCACGCACCTAGTTGCCCAGACTAAGGTCTACCAGACAGGGCCCCATACAGCTGTTAGGTTCGACGAACAACTAGGACGGAGCCCAAATGGCTATATGGAAAATGTTCTATCCTACTACACTTTAATGGAAAGGCTAGTCAAATAAAGAGTACTTACCTGTATCTGAGGCGACGACTGTCTCAAGGTTCGGTCAGGACGGAGGTGTGTATGTACATGTGTGTGACTGGACCGTTGAAGTCGGCAGCTACTTGGACTTCGGCACCGCTCCAAATTATGGTAATCTCCAGCGGCGTCACCCACGGTCAATTTCTTTCTTCTTCACTATGTCAGTCTATTAACTTTATTGTACAATTAACTAACTTCAAAACGCAACTAAATCCCGTTACTTATAATCAAAAACGTAACACATAGCACGAATACCGAATGTTCGGATCAAAGGTCACTTCCGTTTCGCGTGGCAACAAATTATTTCTAGAACCTAACACGACCTTCTCTAGTGTCACAAAGTTCAGCGTTCAATCGACAACGGAAAATGTCTCCGAACTATATCAAATGCCGCACGAGCAAATTAATATTGTCAAATGCACTTATATACGCTATCAAATTAGAATAACCAAATTCGCGGTAAATTAGGCGCATACAACCCACAAATTCAGACGTTGATCGCAATCAATGTTAACTTCCTAACAATTTGTCAACCCGGCGTCTAATTCTAGACTACAATTACCTGTCGTTGCACAATTTGCTAAGAAAATCGACTCTAAAAAATGGAGGTTATCTCGAGCGACTTCACGACGTGCTATCGATAGCACTTCATTCAAGCAACTCACGTTCTGCGCACGCGCCCTCTGCCAAAGCCACTCCGCTCGCCCGAACGTCAAAACCGGTATGGTACCGAGCCGAGCTCCCTCTGGCGTCAAATCTTGAAACCAGCGTTTGGGCGCGAACAACAAGCCTATCGCCAACACCTCCTTGTTCTCGAAAATAATGGAGTTCATTATTAACCGCCAGCTCATACGGTACCTTGAGGTGCACCAGCTGATTAGTGATCGCCAGTACGGATTCCATCGGTTCGCTCAGCTGGTGATCTTCTTGTTTACCTAACACATAGATGAGCGCAGGCAATCGAGTCCAAGGGGGAGGCATTGGCCGCTACTTTGGACATAGCGAAGGCTGTCGAACGGGTCTGGCACAAAGCGCTTCTTTCGAAGCTTCCTTCCTATGGGCCTCCAGAGAATTTGTGCAATCGGATCGCCAGTTTTCTGGCTGATCGGAGCATCAACGTCGTAGTAGACGGTGCATGCTCCGATTGCAAACCTATTAACACTGTTGTTCCACAAGGTTGCGTACTATCACCATCGCTGTTTCTTCTGCATATCAATGATATGTTGCAAAGCGGTAACATTCCTTATTATGACAGCACTGGTGATGCTTTATACATCGGCCGTGCCAATATTTCACGGGAAAACGTCGGCAAGTTTGCGTGTTTACCGCTAAAAATAACGCCTTTGTCGTATCTCCTCAGTTTCAAGGCACTCCCCTTGTTGCCTCAGCCAGTATTGGACACCTCGGCGTTGATATATCGAGTGACGTGCAGTTTCGTGGTCACATGGAAGAGAAGGTCAAATTGGCCCCTAATAAGCTTGGCGTGCTCAGCAGAGCGGTACAATATTTCATGCCGGCACACCGCCTGCAACTTTACAAGGCGCAGGTTCGGCCGCACATGGAATACTGTTCCCATCTCTGGGCTGGGGCTCTCTAGTGGCAGCTCCTTCGACTTGACCGCATCCAGCGCAGAGCGGTTTGAATCGTTGATGACAGAGTCCTTTCCGATCGACTCGATTCACTGGCGCTGCGAAGAGATGTTGCATCTCTTTGCGTATTTTATCGCTTCTACCACGGGGAGTGTTCTGAGGAATTGTTCGGAATAATTCCAGCCGCTCAATTTCACCATCGTACATCGCGATACCATCCTTACCATCTGGATGTTTGACAGTCCACCACTGTGCGATTTAGAAGATGTTTTCTTCCACGCACAACTTCCTTGTGGAATCGATTACTACCAGCGATTTTTCCAGACCGATACGACTTAGGAAGTAGGGACCTTCAGGAAAAAAGCCTACTCCTTTTTAAAAGGCCGGCAACGCATCTGCAATTCCCTTGGTGTTGCAGTTGTTCATAGGCGGCGGTAGTCACTTACCATCAGGTGAGCCGCTCGTTTGCCCCTTCTCCTATAAAAGAAAATGTTAAAATAACAGCTGTTTACTAAATTCATATGACAGTATATAACGTACTTATAACAAAAACAAAATTTTTAAAATTTTTGTTTGTCTGGTGGTTCCCGCCAAATCGTAAAGAAATGACAAATTAATAAAATACATACAACTCGCGACGCCGCCGCCGGAGGACCCAAAAAAACTAAATTACTTTTAATTAATTTAGTTTATAAGAACTATTATAAAGGTATTACAAATAAAAGAACTAATACTAATTAAGTCTACTATTGTTCGATGCTTGAAACAAAGTGAAGTGGCATCGTGGAGTTTCGTATAAGAGGGCGACACTGAAAGTTTTTAGAACTGGCCACTTGTTAACGATATAATAAAAAATAAGTTAAAATTTTGAAAATGAAACTCTGCCAATATTATTGTGTATGTATTTTATTAATTAGTCATTTCTTTACGATTTGGCGGCAAATTGAAAATTGTCTGTGTCACGTCAGCATGAATTTAACGCGATAAAATTTTCGTACAATTATTTTTTATGACTTTCGATGTCATTTATGTCAACAAGAAAGTTATGATAGACTTCGATTAGCCTTTTACGATGAAGCCCCATCTCGTGCCTCTGCTTACAACTGAAGGGCACAGGGAAAAAGGAGCTCATTGACAATTTTACGTTTTTGGAATGAACTATACCATTTTACATCATTTTCTATGGCCAATCAGAGAAAGTTATTTTAAACACGATAAAAGGCGCTGATTTCGTGTAAAGTGAATTGAAAAAATTCTACTTTAGGATTAAACGAGCTCATTGCATTCCATACCGAGTAAAAAGGTGCCCATTGTCTATGAAACCACGCTAGAACGGGCTGATCGTAGCGATTGTAACAGAAAATGCGCTCATAGTCGGCCATCTTTACTATTTTTTCATACAAGTGACAGCTCTCAGATAAGCTTCCTTGCATAAATTTAACGACTCCTTTAGTGTACGTTAGGTTTTTAAAAGTTTTTGCTTATTTATCTCAAAATGGACAATAATACGTAGGACACTCAATAAGTTTTAAGATATACGAAAAGTATTCTAGATACTATTAATATTTATTTTACATCTTTTCAAAATATCCTCCATCATGCTCTATACAAAGTTCCATTCGCCTAAACCAACCTTGAACAACAACAACACTCGCTTCACTCGCAAATCGCTTCTTCGTAGGCAGGCCACGGCTTCTTCGGCGCTTGAAAAAAACTTGTCTTTTATTTTATTTTTTGATTCTTGGGAACAAAAGATATCACAAGTAGCTAAGTAGACAACGGCTTTTGGGTGGGTGACTTAGAGTTTCAACACCAGATTCCTCAATAAATGCTTTTGTTCTAAGGGAGGTATGTGAAGAGGCGTTATCGTGATGCAGCATGATTCCCCGAAGCCCGGTCTTTGGTCTTCTCTACCGCACAGCTTGAAAAGCTTTGGGTAATGCAACTGTAGTATACCATTCAGAGTTGACTGACCTCCAATTTTCCAGCATTGTCGTCGACAAATGTCCGCTCCGCGAAAAAAAACTAGCCACCATTTTTTTGCCGACTTTGCGAGGTCTTTGCAGTTATGTCAGTAACTGTCCTTCTGAGTAGACCCATACCGATGATTGCCTCTTATTTTCCGGATCATATTGATAGATCCATGTCTCGTCACCAGTAACGATTTCTGAAACACGCCTAAATTCTCCGTTTTCAAAACTTAGACGCATTTTTGGCACCAATCGACAGGAGTCTATTTTTCTCTTTCGGAGAGCAAACGAGGGATCCATCTACACAAAGTTTCCTCAATCCAAGATGTTGATGTAGTATGGTATGAATGCTGCCCGAACTAATGCCTACAATCTTTTCAATCTCCGTATATGTGATTCGTGGGTCTTCTCGCACCAATATTTCAGTAGTCCATACATTTTCTGCCGTTACTGCTGTTTGCGGGGCCCCGGTTCTTTGGTCATCTTTAAAATTAATTTTACCCGAATATATTAACTTTCCCCACAAATAAATTTTATACTAATTAATATGTATTCTATTTCATTAGTGTGTTTATGTAATTAGACATTGTTTATGATCACCAATTAATTCGTAAAATGTAAAAAGGAGATCATTGTGACAATGAGCACCTTCTTGTCAATTACATTTGGCAGTTAGGTAATTAAATTACAAACTATTAGTATTAGTATAGTAGTAGTATTTGCCAACCCAATTTTTTATAATAACAATATATTATGTTAAATATACACTGTTCCTTTTTTATATGGGTACAAATCATATTCTAGTAGAATCGTAAGTGTAGAAATTGAAATTTTAGGTTTATTTCTTTAATTACTCGAAACAATGAGAATGTTAATGAGCTCCTTCTTTTCCTGTGTCCTTCAACTGGTTTAATGAGTTTAAAAGTAGTCGCACTAATCTCACCGATGATCTGCGTGAGAGACGGCCTTCTACGGCGACGACTGAAGATAACATCAGTGTTGTGCGGCGTATGATAGAGACTGACAAAAGAGTGACTTATCAGTAGATTCGGATAAGCTTAGGCATCGGTATGAGTCAAGTGCACAAAATCCTCCATGAACTTCAGTCAGGAAGCTTTGTGCCCGGTGGATACCTCATAATTTGACAGAGGCCCAAAACTCCGTCGTGTTGATTGGTGTCGTGAAATGGTTCAAAGATTTAACGGAGGTGACTCAAATGCTGTGTTCGACATACTTACGGGTGAGTAAAGCTGGATAATAAAACTAATAACTTGCTAGTTTGTTCAGTTTTTGATTTTCTAAGAACTTTAAGTGTCACCCTCGTATATAATGTTGTGTCGGATGACGCCGCGAGAGTCACTGTGAATCCACGGCAACCAGATTTCCTATCAAGTCAGCAGAATTTCTTCGCTGCATGAGGTCTCTGGTAAGGTGCAATGTCAGTTGACACCGCATGCGTCATTGTGAATCCACGGCGACAGAATTTCCCTTCAAGTCAGAAAAACTGCCTTGTGGAAATAATGTTGAAATGTTGTGTGGGAATATGAGGTTGCCGCGGTTTTGTAAAGGGGTATCCATATAACATACACAATAATGAATGTTGTTAAAAAAATTACTTCGCGTACATCCGCTCGATAAAATAAAATGATTGGTATTACCTAGTTTGAAGAGCACCTCCCGCCCTCCCTCAATTGCGTGCACTATCACCGTCACCACTAATCCCAGCACCACTACACTAGGAAAGACACACCACTGACGACAATACGACACGTGTTTCGCCTCTACACGATGCATCTTCAGGTGATCTAGACTGGAAGCTTCCACTTAGCGGTCAGCCACCGCAATAATATTGGCAAAGAGTTCCATTTTCAAAATTTGTTATATCGTTTACAAGTGTGGCCAGTTCTAAAAACTTTCAGTATCGCTCTCGCAAGTTCAATATCTATATATGTTTTGTATCGCCCACTCCTATCTACAAGCTTTACCTTACTTTACTTTAAGGTGAAGGTTTTCGACGTTAAAAAACTTTTAGCGCTCCCTTCTCCGCTGCATGCATATTTTTGTCCACCACGATGTGCGACATTCGGTGGACAAAAAGTTACTTTATTTGAAACCAGTGAGGGTGACAAATGAAAATCAGGTAAAGCCTGATGGAAAGTTTGTGGACCCATTGGGACCTTTATTAGACATGCTTGATTAAAATTTAAAACGCAGATGCATGATCACACTTAAAAAGTAAGATAGAATATCCTTCCGTTACCAGTAAAAATGGGCTCCGGTTTTCGCCCACCGAATAAAACGATTAACTATATAAAAAGAAACAGCAAAAGATAAAGAAAAAATAACATCGTAAGATAGACATTCGTATTTTTATTTACAGAACAATCACAGCGTTGGTTAACGCACCTCCGAATGACTGGCAAATTGGACACACGAAAATATTTATGCGAAGCTCGGTGCATACTCCTCTAGAAGCTAAAAGAACAGCCCTGCTGCATGCTTCAGCGCTTCTCATTCAAAAAGTAAGTTAAAATATTTGTACATTCAATAGGCTATTAATATTATGTAAAGCCATGTACGCACTTTGCGACGCGTGTTTAGCGTACCGTGCTCCTCAGTGCTACGTGTCATGATTATAAAACAATTAATTGAAAGCAAGAACATCTTCCATTGACTGAATTACAGCTTGCACAAAAAGTAATGCTTATATCGAGTTAAAAATAAAAACAAATCGCTATACAAATGCTTCAAAAAGGAGCGCGTTAGATATTTGAATTGAAATTAAATTATATAGAGGCTGCGCGCGCGCCTTATACAATTCAATATGTGTGTTTAATGTATATGTGTGTGTGTCCGTGTGTGTGTGTGTGTATGTGTATGTGTATGTGTGTATGTGTGTGTGTGTGTGTGTGTGTGTGTGTGTGTGTGTGTGTGTGTGTGTGTGTGTGTGTGTGTGTGTGTGTGTGTGTGTGTGTGTGTGTGTGCGTGTGCGTGTGCGTGTGCGTGTGCGTGTGCGTGTGCGTGTGCGTGTGCGTGTGCGTGTGCGTGTGCGTGTGCGTGTGCGTGTGCGTGTGCGTGTGCGTGTGCGTGTGCGTGTGCGTGTGCGTGTGCGTGTGCGTGTGCGTGTGCGTGTGCGTGTGCGTGTGCGTGTGCGTGTGCGTGTGCGTGTGCGTGTGCGTGTGCGTGTGCGTGTGCGTGTGCGTGTGCGTGTGCGTGTGCGTGTGCGTGTGCGTGTGCGTGTGCGTGTGCGTGTGCGTGTGCGTGTGCGTGTGCGTGTGCGTGTGCGTGTGCGTGTGCGTGTGCGTGTGCGTGTGCGTGTGCGTGTGCGTGTGCGTGTGCGTGTGCGTGTGCGTGTGCGTGTGCGTGTGCGTGTGCGTGTGCGTGTGCGTGTGCGTGTGCGTGTGCGTGTGCGTGTGCGTGTGCGTGTGCGTGTGCGTGTGCGTGTGCGTGTGCGTGTGCGTGTGCGTGTGCGTGTGCGTGTGCGTGTGCGTGTGCGTGTGCGTGTGCGTGTGCGTGTGCGTGTGCGTGTGCGTGTGCGTGTGCGTGTGCGTGTGCGTGTGCGTGTGCGTGTGCGTGTGCGTGTGCGTGTGCGTGTGCGTGTGCGTGTGCGTGTGCGTGTGCGTGTGCGTGTGTGTGTGTGTGTGATTGGATACCCTTCTTGTGTACACTGTTTTTTTTTAGTAAGTTATATAACTTGGGGGCTGAATAATTATAATTCCTTTTGCTAAATTTAGATTTCATCTTCAGAATACTCACACGATTTTTTTTAATATTATAATTGCGATACACCATATCTATGAAAGCGACTAATTCAAATTGACTTGATACATGAACAATTTGCAAACACTTAATACTCGTATAATGGATGACTTTGTATACTTTTACTTCATTGCCTAACATTTTTAATTCGAAGGTTATTTTTGTAGCAAGAGTACTTATAAAATAGACGAAATAGAAGAGGATCGTTTATATGCAAGTACTATATATAGTGCAAAACCAGCATGTCAGAATACAAAAAGCAATGTAGTTGAGTGAATATTTTATTGCAGTGGTACAAGGGGTGCGTGCAGCGTCGCCAGTTCGTTGTGCAGCGCAACGCGGCGGTGGTGCTGCAGGCGGCGTGGCGCGGCTGGAAGGAGCGCGCGGCCTTCCTGCGGTTGCGGCGCGCCGCCACCACGCTGCAGCGCCACCTGCGCGGCGCCTTCGCGCGCGAGGTGGCCGCCGCGCTGCGCGAGATGCGCCGCGTCAACCACCAGATGCGCCTGCGCGAGGAGCGCAACAGGTACTGCTGCAGCGCACTGCGCACGACCTGAGTTTTCACCCTTGAGGGCTAAGTTAATATATCCTGCTGCCCGTAATTATACAGGCTCTCTGTACCCTTCAGAACACAGCAATACACGCACTGCTATTTGCAGGCCGAAATAGGTAAGAGGGTGGTACCTGCCCAGATATAGAAAGTTGTGGCTAAGTACGAAATAATATTTTATATACGGTAAGCGGTAACTCGTACTACTAAGTAGAAAAAGAATTAGGATTCTTCATTCACCTAGTTTTAATTGTGTAATTTTACGTGAAATGTAAACAAAGCTGACAAGCTGCAGGAAAGTCGCCTCCGCTGGTACGGCCACGTCTTACGACGACCAGCAAGCTACGTGGGAAACAAATGCCTGGACATGACCTTACCTGGTGCCAGGAGTAGAGGACGGCCCAAGAAACGCTGGCTTGATGTCGTGCAGGACATGCGCGCCAATGGGCTAGTTGTGAGGGACGCCGAAGACCGGGCAAAGTGGAGGAGGAAGTGTCGGAAAGCGGACCCTGGGTTCTCCCGCGCTGGGCGGGATGAGCAACCGGGATAAACGCTAGGTAGAAGAAGAAGAAGAAGAAGAAGTAATACCTTAGAATAGTCCATGAACAAAATATTGATTATTGGTGAAAATAAAACGACAACTTGAGAAACAATAAGGTTTTATAACATACCTTCATCGCCACGGGCCGTCAAAGTCTTTTTAGTTATTACTATTTAAGTTTCGAATTACGTTGCGTTACAGCCTATTTAAGTCCACTGCCGACCACAGGCGTCCCCTATAGATTTGGCAAGCGGGTTGGCAACTGCAGTTTTTTATTTTTAGTCGTTATTAAAAAGACTGCTGCCCATCTCTTGATTTGTTTTCCTCTGTCGGCTCTTACGACACCCACGGGATGATATAAGGTAGTGGATATTCTTACACCGCCACTACAAGGAAGTTTTGAATTATGACATCTTATTTAATGGGCGTTTAATAGCAGATCATTGCATGTTTTTAAATCACCATCTCCGTTCTTTATCCGATGGAAAACTTAAACAATGAAATGAGGAAAAATATACTCGGTTGATATGACATAGTTATAATAACGACGAGGCACTTTTAACAACTTTCCAGACAAACTTAAGTTGTTGATAATAAAGCCGCTATATAAGAAAGGGTCAAAATGTGACAAAATAATTATATGTCTATTGCTTTGATTCAGGTCCTATCTAAAATCATTTAAAAAAATTATGCTCAAAAGAATAGTAAACTTCCTAGATAAATATGACATTTTGCGCCGGAACAATTTGGTTTCAGGAAATATCGATCAATGCAGTTAACTACCTTCACCTTAATAAACAGCATCGTTAATAATATCAACCATAAAATCCCAACATTAGCTCTACTATTAGACCTCAGCAAAGCATTCGATTTTGTTGATCATTCAATACTCATCTCGAAACTTGATAAGTGTGGAATAAGGGGATCTTCATTATTATGGTTTGGTTAAAAAATACGAAACAATTAGCTAGGATTACAAAATTTGATACTGCAACAAATAATGTAGTTAACTTTGACTCGAAACAAAGGATTAATTGTACTGGGGTGCCCCAGGGTAGCATCTTAGGGCCCCTGTTATTTCTTATTTACGTCAATGACCTTCTACGTGCACTCACACATGATTGTGTCTTGTTCGCAGACGACACGACTATCATTATGAGCTGTAAAAATATAGATACCTATGAGACGGAAATATATAAAACGTTAGAAGATGTTATCCAATGGTTAAACATAAACAAATTAAAAATAAACATTGATAAAACGAAACTAATTAACTTCAAAACTTATAAGAGTAAAAACATGGAATTAAATATTAGTTACAACAAAAAAAAACTGTACCTATATGGCACCTCTAATATATAACTCTTTGCCCAAAGGAATGACTGATCTGCCATATAAAGGTTCTGTTGTGCCTTGCGAGAATGGTTAATCCAGGAGTTTTTAGTATACTATTAAAGATTTTTTGAATAAAAGCACTTGCCGATTTGGTGCCCACTAAGATATCAGATCTTCCTTTTATTTCCTGTGACGTAGTCTATTATAATAATTAAATAATTTATGTAATTGTATTCATATAATTCAAATAATTGAAATTTAAAAGATTATAATAATTGTAATTCAAATAGTTCTTATAAATTGTTATTCAAATAGTTCTAATAATTGTAATTTTATTCAAATAATTTTTGTATATTTATTATAATTTTGCATGCCCGTAATGAGGGTGAAATATGTCCTGTGCTATAACTTAATTTAACATCATGTCTACCAAACATATTTCTTGCAAATAAATGATTTATGATCATGATATGATGGGATTATGATTAATTTTTATTTTTATAAAAATTTTCACTACCACGCAGTAGATTAGGTTTCTGTATAATTTAAATGAATAATTTTATATCTAGTTACAAGCACTAAGACTAATATCTTTCTTTCCACAGTCTCGCGGAAAAAGTTAACCAAGAGCGAGCAGAGCTGGAAACAATGGCCGATCAACTACGTGGACTCTCATGTCCTGGCGGCGGGCGGGTGGAATCCGTGAACCTGGACAATCTGTTCGACTTCCTGGCCGACGTGCCAGCTCAGCGCGGTGCACCCGATGGCCAACCTGCGCACCAGCCCACCATCGCGGAGATAGGGGACTCTATGGAGCGCCTTGCCGATGACCTCCATCAGGAGGTAAGTAGGAATTTAGAATATGTTTCTATTTAATTGAAAAATACAACAAAGTATGAATTAACACATATCAGACTACCTACATTTAACACTTGTGTTAAATTTTACGTTTTAAGTTGGAGCACGTCCTAGCAGCGGAGATGAACGAGCTCAGCAAATCGCACACGGAAGCCCAGCGAAAGCCGGACGGCGCGCCTTCCGATGACATCCCTCCCCCTCCACCTTCCTCCCTCCCCTTGCAGTCGATTTTGCAGCCGGCCACCCCGCTCGCCAGCATGACGTCATCCCTGACGAACGGCATGACATCGTCATTCACTAATGGCACGTCTCCGATATCAAACGGTGACGTGATGTCGTCATCGCTGATAATGCCACCTCCGCCGCCAGTGGAGCCTCAAGTGGAGGACTCCCCGGTGTTTCCCTCTCCGCCTACAACTTGCTCACTTCCAGAACCTGCTGGCCCGCCTCCACCGCCGCCCGCTGTTAAAGGTACTTCTTTTAATTACAAAACTATTATTGTAAAATAACTTACATCTCTTGACCTCTTGACAGAATTGTAAAATTAAGAAATAAAACAGTAACAAAGAAAAAACATAAAATAAAACAACAAAAAACTATTCAAGTTTGTTCACCATGTATCGTTCAAAGCAGATTGTGAGGTAAAGAGGCTATTAAAATAAGTTGTAATTTACTATTTCATATGATTTCTTTAACCCGTGGTAAATCAGGGGCTAAGCGCTCACTTTAAATTTCACAGTACCCGAGCAAACCGGGTTAGATCTCCGCCGGCGCTAATGAAATTTTTAATTGTAATTTTAAGTGCTAATTTACCACGTGCTCGGCAGTGAAGGAAACAACGTAAGGAAACATGCATTTCTGAGAAATAAGATGTTGAAAGGGAATACCCTCCCAGGGGAGGGCACGGGAGGACATCAATACCCGTAGTAGCTCAGTAGCTACTACGGGTATTGATATACTTACCTTATTCATTCGTCAACATCATCCCGTAAAAATCCACTGCTGGATATGAACAGAAGAGGCCCGTTTTAGAGAGGATTTACCTTAAACGTAACGCTTGGCAGACGAATTATTAGCGATTCCAGTACCAAACGTTTCGCAACCTCGCTGCTCCTTGTCGCCGATCTGAGAATCCGGCATAAACTAAATGCATACCGACATCTAACGAAAGCTATAACTTTTTTATAGGATGGGGGTGACAAATGAGCACACAGTCCATCTGATGGTAAGTGGATACTGTGGCCCATAGGCCACATTTATCATCGATTATGAATCAACTCCTCCAATCACTCCTGAGGATTACAATGGAATGCCTCGTTTCCATTAAAAAGGGTCTCTGGTTCTCTACACTCACCGTACGAAACACAACTACATTATAACCTGCTATTTTACTCTGGTATTCTATAAGAGCGTAGACGTTCCCTGGTCGAGCCGATCCATTAGTGCTTACAACCATCATATAGCTGCAGCGTGATTCTACCACATTAAAAACGCCTCATACGACTCCTATGATTATCATGATACCAAATTAGGCGATGGAGTTTCTTATACGTGGCGGCATTCACTATGATCTGTACCGATATTTTTTTATAGGATCGAGTGACAAACGAGCACACAGTCCATCTGATGGTAAGTGGTTGCTGTGGCTCATAGACATCTACATCTATCCTCGTTTGCGAATCAAAATGCAGATGCGTTGTCACCCGTGAGGACTAAGATGAAATGCCTCTTATATATGCCTCCAGTAAAAAGGGTCTCCGGTTCTCTACACTCACCATACGAAACACAGCAGATATATGACTATATTGGCAATACGTTATATTTGAAATAATCTTGTTGAGTAACAGTACCCACTTCAAACAAAGAGGCATACAGATGCACCGATCATACCTCACAGTCTATAACAATACTGGTTCTTTTCACCTTTTAGCCGGAACACAGCACTGCATTTGTCGACAGAATAATTAAGTAAGATTGCGATACCAACCCAGAAAGGTATCTCAATCGTGTGGTGATGACTGTTTTAATATTCTTAATACTATACCCTGACTACATATTATCGTTTGTAGACACGACTCCGCCGGAGCTCACAAATGGCATAATACCCAACGGGAAGCTATCGGTTGTGAACGGAAAGGAACCGATATACGAAGCAGTTATTCCCCGACCATCGCTCACTGAACCTCCAACAACTTCACCACCGCCACCGCCATTATTGCTACCTGAAAGTAATGGGTAAGCTTAATTTTTTTTACCATACCGTTTTTCGTGCCTTTCTTAAATTAAAGTATTTGTAATTGCTGTTTCTGACGATTTTAATATAATTGACCACAATTAATGTTCACAATTGGTTAAGGAAACTCCTATTAAATATGCGCATGTCCACCGTGTAAAATATTTCAAGGACATTTTAATTAACAAACAAACACTGAACCAACGATGAACGGGCGTGACTTGCACCTCAAAATAATAGGCATGTAACAATGCAGTAAAACGTTCTTAGTGTTCATATTCAGTCCTAAATTATATCTTATAGCTGCGCTCCTCTTTTGCATGTCACTCTTCTCTGTTCAAGGTCAGCCGTATTACCACTCTCTTTTTCTCACCCACACACCTGACAGTCTGTCTGCCTAGTTTCACTTCTTGTGTTACCTTACGTTTGAAAAGTTACTGTTAATATGATCAACTTAATCACTTGGATTGGACATCCATATTTTAAAATACCTCAGCACTAACTAAATAACATATTATATATAGATTTTTTTCACCTCTCTCTCTCTCTCTTCTAGGTTTATAAGTAAAGAACCAGAATCCGAGCAAGCTGACGAACCGTTACCAGCGTTACCAAGCAACGTGGTGTCACCGGACAACACTTCCTGCTCGTCCCCTCCTCTTCCCATGGACACATGTATCAGTCCACCGCCGATGATGAACGGCGATTCCAATGTAAGTTTTACTTATAAATACTTGCATTATATAAACACATTAAGGGTACTATGAACGTCCCAAGCGTATCGATATAGGGAGCGGGTATTGAGTTATACCAAAAGGAGGCAAGCTTTTCTTTAGTGTGGGAGTCCCTCTGTGTGAATATCACTCTCTTACTCTTCTTGTGGCAGAGGTGGTATTATTATTCCCGTCAAGCAGCAGTACGCCTATTGCTAGTTACCTACTATGATAAGACAGCCACAAGAAATTAATTTCATCAAAGGTAAGAGATATCAATTCAGACTGTAAGACATTCTAGTGCTCAGAGACGACGACGCATCTGTATACCACTGACGTGTTGTCGTCTTTATTTAAAATTGGTTTTCACGTACTCTAGAGCCGTGATCCGTTTCATCATTACAGCATATTAAAGTCCACTGCTGAACATAGGCCATAGATTGACTTAAGGAGGATTATTGCCATAGTTGCCATGATCGACAGGTGGGTTGGCAACTGCAGTTTTTATTTTTATTTTATAATTGTTACTGGTTCTATTATTGGCTCCTGGTTTGTTTTCCTCTGTCGCCTCTTACGATACTCATGGGACAATATGGTTTAGTGAATAATCTTTCATCGCCACCAAATGGTCACGGTGAGCCGTTTGCCGCACTTATATTCATTATCAGAGCGACAAACGTGCTAAAAAATAAATTAAACCTTATCACAATCGTACAGAGTACAGAACGCAACGCACGTCGCAAGGAGCGCGTGGAGCGGCGCCTGCACCAGATGGAGGCCGCGTCGCCGCCCGGCAGCGCGCCGCCGACCACCCCGCCCGCTGACGCCACCGACCTCGCCGAGTTCGCGAAGCTTTACTTCAATGATCACCCGCGCTCGCCTGAAGGTATCGGCTGTTCTGTTATGGAAATTCGACTTTACTAAAAACTTATTAAATATGTCTATATTATGCAATGGGCAGAATATGGCATCTATTAATTAATACGTGGAGAGAGAATCTTAGATGAGATGTGATCACTTTGTACCTCTTATAAAGAATATTGCGGGCACAGAGGAGTTTGATATTTTGCATAGTTAAACATTGCACGAAGCTAAAATTTATATAATATAATGTATGTTACAAATATGTAAATAAAATAAAACATCCGTTGTTTACGTTCATACTGCCAATGCCAAACACATAATTAATCTATCGTTTGTTTACCTTCATTCTGTTAATGTCAAACATTTAATAACTTGTGGTCAAACAGTCATACAGAGTAGAACTTGTCGCCAAAGAATTTTAAAATATTGTCGACTAATAATTACTTACATATATTGACTGAATGAGGTGTGAAAAATAGGAACTGAAAAACAATTATTTTAAAGCAAAAATATCTGACGCGTTCTCCCACACAACTCGTATTGGATAACGTGTCAAATATTTTTTTTAAATTCAAATAGGCTTGTCTTTGATGCACCCGTCTGATTAATAGACGATGCTATAACGACCAGCTAATGGCAGAATTAATCCATCCAAGAGCCCTAAATCAGAATGTTATATCTTGGCAAAGATAAACAAGCACATAGGCCACCTGATGGTAAGTAGATGAGAAGTTCAACGATTCTGGTCACTCACCAGTCAGTTATCTTTTGTTAATGTGGTAGTGCTCCTAGTGTTTAAAGACGTACTATACTAAGGTTTTTAACTGTTTAGAAAAAATATATATTTGTTCAGCACATATCTAATATACAGGAAATACGCTCCCGAAAACGAAGACAGACGACAGTACCAATTATACCTTTGATGATGAGTGAAATATAAAATCGACCCTGATGAAAAAAAAAATTTCTTTTCACAACGTTTTATTAGCTTTATTCATTCTCTATCATGTTAGTACCGCTAACTGAAACGATAATTTCATTAAAAAAAAAACATGAAATACTTAAACATAAAACCAGCAGTGGAATTACTGAATTACAATCAGCTGACTAGGGGTCAAAGTACGTACGAACGCCGAATTCACGCGGCCCGCAGCTAGCGGGCCATACCACAATACCTAATAATTTACAACACTTGTATACCTAACTTATCTACTTAACCTACTATTTTACCACTGTGCTTGTCTCCACGTAGCCACTTTAATTCAAATTCACAGGTTAAATAACCCAAATAACTGGTTCGATTCCCCGCTAATGAAAAAAAATACTTAAATGAAATGTAACTAAGGTTAGAGTCATGCGTTTCTATTTATACACGATAAAGGTATGTTTATTATTCTAATGTATTCAGTTATGTACCTATTCAGATAAATTCAGTACTAAGTTACTTAAAAAAATTAGATATGAAACAGCTTACCGCTCTAAATCCACCGTGGTCTTATGAGATGCGGCTCAAATTGTGCTCCATTCATTTCGAGGCAGATTTGGGCTCGGTGTTGCGTCTCCTCATGCAGGCGGGGCATCATCGTGTGGTCTTCGACACAGTCCGTACGTAGTTTGTCGAAAATATCCACGATCCTTTGGCGCATTTCTCTCACGATTAAAAACCCTTTCTTTCACATACCCCCACAGAAAGAAGTCTAACGGGGTCAGATCTGGTGAGCGATGTGGCCAAGCGTGTGGTCCTAGTCTGCCGATCCAGCGATCATCAAATAGCTCGTTAAGGCGCTCACGGGCGACCCTCACGACATGTGGAGGTGCACCATCATGCTGGAACCATGTGCGGCGATATTCTGCCAACGATAGGTCGTGTAAAATGTCAACCAACTGTTCATTTATGAAGTTTAGGTATCGCTGTCCGTTAAGTCGCTGTGGCAGAAACACTGGTCCTAGTATGCGATCTTTAAATAAACCTGCGCGTACGTTAACCGATCATCGGATTTGGTGCCCGGTTTGTCGAACAGCGTGCGGGTTAACTTCGGAATACTGTGTATTTCTTTGGTTCCATAGGCCGTTTCTAGTAAATGTCGTCTCGTCCGTCCAGATGACGTGCTCAATGAAACCAGGCACACGTTGTTGCTGGTCTAATAACCAACGGCAGAAAACTCGCCGGCGGTTGTGATCGCCGGGAACTAAAGCTTGCACTTTGTACACTTTGTATGGGCGCATTCGATTACGCTTTAACACTTTGTTAACTGTACAGTATGACACACTTGTTCCACCCCTACGCCTTAACAATTTAGTGATACTTCGTGTACCTAGGTTCGGATTCCGGCGCACAACATCTAAAATGCGCTCCTCTGAGTGAACAGCCACTTCAGGTGGACCTCCTGCTGCTACCAGAGCAATGGGCCGATTTTCCAACACTCGCTGAAATGCTGCTGTTATCAGACGAGAGTCAGCTGGATGTCGAGCGGTCGGGAATTTCTTTCGGTAAATTCGCAATGCATGCGAAGCATTCCCGCGAGCTTCTCCAAGGCACATTAACATGTTGCCGTATTCACGAGCACTATAAACAAAACAAGAAACTTAAAACGTGACTACAAGAATAATATCATTAAGTAATAAATAACAAGTAATAACGACAATAATTTAATAAACAAAACAATTGAACTGTCTCTTGTGATAGTAAACACGGAACTGTCTCAAAAACTAAAATTATTAATCAATTCCGCTAAAACAAATACGCACAAGGTAAAGTCCTTGAAGCACTGGAACCTTACACACACCGTTAAAGCGTTATGTATATTAAGACATCGCCAACGTTTATTTAACTTATAAGTTTTATCCCTACTACTAGACTTCATATGGAATTTAAAAGTTATGGTTGTCATTTTTAATACAATTACACAATCAATTGTACCCTGACGCAACAAGCAGTTCTTTACTACAAAAAATATTGAAATTATTAAACTTACCTAATTGGGTACTCAGTACTCACACAATATAAATACTATTTAATCGTTATCTTTGATTTTGTATAAGAAAATAGAAATGAAAAATTAAACTTCGTATAACCAATTTAATCGATAAATCGCTCAGTGCCCAGGTTCAAGGCCAGCATTTTTACGTGACGGGACCTATAAGAGTTCGGCGCCCGCGAGGATATTGACCCTATTGTTAGCTAATGTTTTTTTAATTAATGAAATTATCGTTTCATTTAGCTTTTTTTTTTACATGGGGAAATGCCTACACATACCCGCCTCGCGAGGGCAAGGACGGGTTATGTCGGACTCGCACCGACTAAAACCCCATGGTGTTCCACCTTCATCGCATATTGGCAGGGCCACGGGAACGCTTTCGCGCACATCCGCAGCCCAACCTGCGCTGGCCGCCCATGGCGCCCTGGTCACATGGCGCGCCCCCTCCTCGGCCTCCAATTTCACATGCGCAACGGACGCCTCCGTTTCCGATGCGCGAAGGCCATGGGACCAGGAAAAACTAGCACTCTGAAGCACCAGCCTTCCTGACCCCAGCGGCGGATCTGGTCTATGGCTCCGCCGCCAACCAAGATTCGGCTGCGGAGGGTAGGGAGAGCGGCGCCTCGCAATACCGGCACTCCTCTCCCCCCGCAGCCCCACCACCACCGCATCAATTAACGTTGCGGCCCCGTCTGAGTCGCGGAGGATAGGGCGAGTGGCGCATCGCCATACCAACACTCCTCTTCCTCCGCGACTCCACCTCGGCTGCAGCGGTAGAGGGTGCGGACTCCCCTCTCACCGCAGCCCCCCCAAGAAGTGGGCTCGCCAAGCCCACTCGGAGTGGCCACCTCGAGCCGGCCCTACACCACGGGCCAGCCAAGGGGTTCCTCTTTGTTCACCGTGGGTGACCGACCAAGCCACGGCTACTAAGCCCCCCCCCCCCCGCCACGACAAGGCGGGAACCCGTTCGAGAGGGATCGTTTCATTTAGCTGTACTAACATGATGGAGCGTGGATAAAGTTAATAAACATTGTGAAAAGATGATTTTTTTTTTACCTCGGGATCAAATTTATTTGTGACTCATGTTCTAAGGTATAGTATCTACTATCCTCTGTCTTCGTTTTCGGGAGCGTCACAAACACTCGGTATTAAGTAAATAAAGTTATAAATAACAATGAAATGTTTTAGGAACAATTATGGCAACACTGACACGCAAGAGCAAATCAATGGAGCTGCTAACGAAAGAAGAGATGATCACTTATCACAAGGGGAACAATATACCTACATCACACATCCAGCTACACGACCCCGACAGTGTCACTGCGGCTGTTAACATTTTTCGGGTAAGTTGTCAAAAGACGTCACGCGAAATACCCCCAACTTGAGGGAATTCTATATTTCGCAATATCAATTACATACAGGTTGATAATGATCTTAAAACTGCTAAATGGTTTCTCCACTTATGCTTTTCAGGTTCTAGAATGGAATAAGAAACTATAAAGAAAGAGTTATTTATTGGCACAACACTACATTACACACGCACTAATTTACAGAACACATCCCACATATACATGCACACAAATAATTTATCGTAAAAAATAATAAGGGTAAAATGAAATCAATTCTTATTACTATAACTTGTTACTAATTTCGTAGAAAAAGTAAGTGATGATGATATCGTTTTAGAAAAAAAAATATTATTAGCATATTATTAGGATTTTACTACAATAGGTTGTCACAACACCTTTGTCTGCCAGTCAAACTGCCTCAGCTTAGAAATACTTATTCATGTACATTATATGATCACTTACCGATAATGTACATACAAAAGCTGCCATACAATTATGTTAATTTTTAAAATATTCTCCTACGTTGTAATGTTTTCCTCTACTGTAAATACCATTTATTATTTAATCAATATCATGTGGTATTTCCACTATTAAATTGTACCAATATTATTCGCATTTACAGGACTTATGTCGCTACATGCGAGGGGAATTGACGGCGGACAAAGAGACTCAAGTGATTCAGTCAGTAATCGGTAAAGGCCTGGAACGAGAAGAACTGAGAGATGAAATTCTGATTCAATGTGTCAGACAGGTGAGTTATAGTATATATCTTTTAGTTAGTGCATGTAATTATGAAATTCATGGTTTATTGCAAATTTAAGCGCTAATTTACCACGTGCCGCCAAGCGGTGAAAGTAAATGAACATGTGTGTCGAAAAGTTAAAAACGTTATTAGGACAAATACACGTTCGAACAAAATATTGCGCAGACGTGCAGACCCTCATTGTATGACCGACGGAGAGTAGGAAAGAGAAACAGTCATCAGTGTGCTTAGTTGTCCTTCAAAATAAATTACTCATAGCTGCACCACATAGCGTACATGATAGAAATAAGTATAGTACCGAGTAAATGACTCCCAAAGAATGTGAATAATAACAGACCGGACTACTACGTTAAAGTATGCGGTAGCTTCGAAATTTTACAATAATCATGATAAGACTTATAAAAGCACACCGTGGATTTCAGTCCTGTTGACCTGATATAGGGATGGGCCCAGTATTTTCTTGGGAAATGTCTCGTTTTTATCTTTAATTTTAAGTACATTACAACACAGCATATTCTCTGGATAATTGTCTCCATAGTGAGTGCTTCCCTAAACATCCGGCAAACAAATGGTCGTACACAGAGTACGCTATTTCAGTTTTTTACGCTTAGCGGACTTTTGTCCTTCGTGGATAATATTTCTAAATCTGCATTTATAGGTTATATAAATGAAGAAGAGGTAATTATCCACTTGTGCGTGTTTTAACAGAGCCCTCTGGTGTCAGCAAAGTGAACTCTTATGTTCAAATAAATACTGGTGAATTGTATTGTGTCAGATAACGGAGTGTCCCGTGGAGGAGTGGGCGGAGCGCGTGTGGCTGATGCTGTGCCTGTGCGCGGTGGCATGGCAGCCGAGCCGCGGGCTGGCGCGCTACTACTGCGCCTGGCTGCGAGCGCGCGCCCGAGCCGCGCCCGCCGCGCCGCGAGCCGCGCACTGCGCGCAGTGGTGCCTCGACAACTGCCGCGGCGCCGCGCCGCGCCTGCTGCCGCCCAGCACCGTCGAGATCGCGGTCAGTACGTGCACTGTGCACTGCGCACTGTACACTGTGCACTGCGCGCAGTGGTGCCTCGACAACTGCCGCGGCGCCGCGCCGCGCCTGCTGCCGCCCAGCACCGTCGAGATCGCGGTCAGTACGTGCACTGTGCACTGCGCACTGTACACTGTGCACTGCGCGCAGTGGTGCCTCGACAACTGCCGCGGCGCCGCGCCGCGCCTGCTGCCGCCCAGCACCGTCGAGATCGCGGTCAGTACGTGCACTGTGCACTGCGCACTGTACACTGTGCACTGCGCGCAGTGGTGCCTCGACAACTGCCGCGGCGCCGCGCCGCGCCTGCTGCCGCCCAGCACCGTCGAGATCGCGGTCAGTACGTGCACTGTGCACTGCGCACTGTACACTGTGCACTGCGCGCAGTGGTGCCTCGACAACTGCCGCGGCGCCGCGCCGCGCCTGCTGCCGCCCAGCACCGTCGAGATCGCGGTCAGTACGTGCACTGTGCACTGCGCACTGTACACTGTGCACTGCGCGCAGTGGTGCCTCGACAACTGCCGCGGCGCCGCGCCGCGCCTGCTGCCGCCCAGCACCGTCGAGATCGCGGTCAGTACGTGCACTGTGCACTGCGCACTGTACACTGTGCACTGCGCGCAGTGGTGCCTCGACAACTGCCGCGGCGCCGCGCCGCGCCTGCTGCCGCCCAGCACCGTCGAGATCGCGGTCAGTACGTGCACTGTGCACTGCGCACTGTACACTGTGCACTGCGCGCAGTGGTGCCTCGACAACTGCCGCGGCGCCGCGCCGCGCCTGCTGCCGCCCAGCACCGTCGAGATCGCGGTCAGTACGTGCACTGTGCACTGCGCACTGTACACTGTGCACTGCGCGCAGTGGTGCCTCGACAACTGCCGCGGCGCCGCGCCGCGCCTGCTGCCGCCCAGCACCGTCGAGATCGCGGTCAGTACGTGCACTGTGCACTGCGCACTGTACACTGTGCACTGCGCGCAGTGGTGCCTCGACAACTGCCGCGGCGCCGCGCCGCGCCTGCTGCCGCCCAGCACCGTCGAGATCGCGGTCAGTACGTGCACTGTGCACTGCGCACTGTACACTGTGCACTGCGCGCAGTGGTGCCTCGACAACTGCCGCGGCGCCGCGCTGCGCCTGCTGCCGCCATCACACACATTGCGATAACGCGAATATTCGCGTTATCGCAATGTATGTGCCCGTCCTCTCGTTAATACTTCCTCACTTGGTGCGAAGTTGCAAGCACATCCTTTCGCTGTCGATAAATTCTCGCACTTCAAAGGGTTTTATCGCGATGGATTCCCTTGGGGTTTGCAACGTAATTCCAACATAGATTGGTGTAATGAAAAAATTTTGGGATTTATAAGTCCAAGCCGATATTATTTATATATTTATCTTAATTTTCAAAAACTGACAATAATAAAAAATAATTATTCACTGCCATAATACAGAGCGACAGTGGCTTTTTTTATAGGATAGGGTGACAAACGAGCACACAGTCCACCGTCGATTTTCACGTTATACCCCTCGAAAAAAAAAAGTGAACCTCGGCACTATAATGATCCGTGGTGCTTAATGTACAAGTATTTGAAGTGTAGTGTATGGCAGGCGATGCGGCGGCTGGGCACGATCGTGTGCCGCTTCTTCTTCCTGGACGGGCGCACGAAGGCCATCGACGTGCACCCGGCGGACACGGCGGCGGCGGCGGCGGCGCGGCTGGCCGACAAGCTGGCGCTGGCGCCGCACTCGCGCGCCGGCTGGGCCGTGTACCAGCAGCGCGCCGGCCGCGAGGAGCACGTGCGCGCCACGCACTACCTGTACGACGTCATCGCCGCCTGGGAGATGTCAGTTCTTTATTATATGCTAGCGTACACACTACCTTATAACGTACCGTGGCCGTCGTAAGACGCAACAAACTGAAAACAAACTAGGAGATGGACAGTGCTGTCTTACTGATTACAAGTACAAAATAAAAAATTGCGGTTTCCAACCCGGCTGCTAAGCATGAAAATTATATAAAACATTCCCCCAATCTATGGGAAGGTTTATGTTCAACAGTCTTTTGATATGACTGTAATAGAAAATTGTAATATCTCTCATTACAGTATATGATAGCTATCAATCAAATATACATATTACACTGTATAACTATAAAATCCACTATTGCATAATATGTAATGATATTATGCAATAGTGGATAAATGCCGTAAGCGACGACAGAGCGAAACAAAACAGAAAATTGGCGGCAGCATGTTCCTAATAAAAACTAAAATAATTAAAACTGCGATTGCCAATCCACCTGCCAAGCGTCCAACTACAAGGGGGGCGTTCAAGTATTACGTAACGCAATTTGGGGGGAGGGGGGGTCTTATAAAACGTTACCATGCGTTACAGGGGCGGGAGGGGGTTTTCCAATAACGCGTTACGTAACGTTTTTTTTATTTCAATAAAAACTAGGAAATTAAAATCTCCCAAGTTGGCAACCTTTTTTGTCTATGTTTTACGGGGAATCCCTCGACTGTATTGCGACTGTGTTTTCTTTTAATGGACCTGGAATACAAAGTACTTTTACCAGTGGCGGATTTACCAGCAGGCTGAGTAGGCTGGAGCCTAGGGCGGTAGATTTTAAGGGCAGCTAATTTGGGGCTAAAAGTTTTTCATTTTTCACTTGGTCGATAAATTTTCCTACAATTTGCATTTGGTTGTGGCGCGGAAACGAGTGACATAACCGTTCGCTAAGTGTGTTTTGATCGAAATGCCTGCCCTATGTAGTATATATATAATATCTATGGAAGTAGTAGTATATATAATATCTATGGAAATGCTGATGAATTGACTGAACGAGCGAGGCGCGGCCGCCGCGGGAGCCGCAGCAGGATCATACTGTTGAAGGCGTACGCTGCGTGTTGACATTGAGTTCGAAACACATAGATGTATTTACTTCAAAATCAAAAGAAAAGCTGCCTCGGTTGAATCCTGGTGCGATTTCTAATACGTATTAATATTTCTCTGGCACAATTTTTTGGAAAATTACCTATTGGCAAAACGGTCTGAAGAGGGTTCTTGCCGTAGTATGATAATGCCGCAACATGTCTGGTGTGTGTACAATGGTTAAAATTCAAAGCCAAGCACCTTTTGCTGTTGTGACCTTCAAGAAAAGAGTCTACTCCTTTTTAAAAGGCCTGCAACTGCAATTCCCCTGGTTCCCCTGGTGTTGTAGTTGTTCATGGGCGGTAGTAGTCACTTACCATCAGGTGAGCCACATTATCGTTTGCCCCCTCAACTATAAAAAAAATGCGACTGCTGAACCCAGATTTTTTTTAGATTTGCACAGAAGCTTGTCGCTTCGTCAGTTCTTTGAGGCGAAGTGTAGGGCGATCCCCCACTAGATGGAGTGACGACCTGGTAGGATATGCAGGTAGTCGATGGATGCAGGTGGCTCGGGATCGTGTTTTATGGCATTCCTTGGGGGAGGCCTATGTTCAGCAGTGGACTTATGAAAGGCTGTAATCATGATGATTTGGAAAAACTCAATTTTCAGCACGCTGGAGAGACACTTGCTAAGATCTGGAGGGAAATGAAAATTGACAGCTATGATGTTTCGGCGGAATATTGAAAGCCGGAAGATAGCTTGCAGAATCCAGCAGAACCTAATCTGGCATAGTATAGGGCTCACGTTCGTGAATCGCAATATTTCTTACAAGTAATTAAATGCGCGGATGATTCTTGCTGTTCCCGCTGCAGGAGTGCATTGAAATCTGTCTTTCCAAATACTTTTCTGCTGCCACCCTGCCCAATCCTTCAAACCCCAAGCAAGCTCGTGGTACCTGGTCAGCTGGACAAAGGATCATGCAAGTTTTCACTACTTCTTGTGAGGTTGTTAGATGATCTGTCGCCTCCTCTAGAAGGGTTTAAGCAGATTCCTTACGATTTATTTTGCCCATCAGTACAATCTGACCTCTAGAACAGAATATGTGCAACATGTGGGATCTATTTCACATCTCACAAGAGTATGCAAATGCACAGTCGTTACGTGCATGGCAAGACTGCCCAAGACCGTCGTAAAAATAGAGTACAGCCACAGCGACTGCTGCCAGAAGGGCAAATGAGCTTCCCTGCATTGTGCGATGCTGTGAAACATCGTCTGAATATGCCGATTGGCTTGACGAAGACGAAGTTGATGCAAGTGGTTTAACAATTCCGGAATCCGCTCCGTCTGCTCTCCGGATGCCAGTAATGAAAGAGTCTGAGTGGCCAGCAAACCCGTGGACAGAGGAATAGTAACTCCAATTAAATTGATCTTTTTTTACATACCTACGTATTTTAATTATGGCTGTTTTTATTTTAAATTTTTAGCTATGAATACAATTTTATTTTGACTAAAATGTTTTATTTCAGTTAGGTTTCCATTGCATTGCCAAAGGTTAAAATAAATATGTAATAACTATAATAGTTTATTAGTAAAAAAAAAGCTAAAACAGGAGAATGCATGAGAAGACCTTGGTGGATTAAGCCAAAAATGTATGTGAGGAAAGGGCCAAGTCAGAAAAACGGCGTAATTAAATGTAAAGTAAGCAGTAAAAGTTTATTAGGACGAATTTTAGCCCATTTTAACATATTTAAATCTTAAGCAAATGTTTATTACATTATGTGTGATTATTTATTAAATAATAATATGAATAAATAAAATAAACAATATACGCATCTATTACGATTGTTAAGAGATTTCTAATCTCTAGTTTTATTTATTATTACCGCAAACGCGATTAAAACAATAACAATATTATTTTAGCGACTTTCCGGTACTTTGCACAACATAATTGTGACTTTTAGTTAAAAATGGTCACTTTTATGTTACGTAACGTTTAGGGAGGGGGAGGGGGGATCCCGATAAACGTTACGGCGCGTTACATGGGGGGCGGGAGGGTCAAAAATCTTCAAAAATTGCGTTACGTAATACTTGAACGCCTCCAGAGAAGTCAAGAGCAGGACCTACAGCTTAACATATTTTCTGAGACATGGTGGTGAAATATCGTTAATTTCCTGACTCTGGGCTGTTAATAAAATTTTCGAAGCCTAACTTTTGATTCGAACCCAAGACCTGGATGGGGACATGATTATACTATGTGCGCAGGCAACAAGGCCCCGGTGGCGGGTCGGCGGACAACCGGTTCGTGTTCAAGCGGCGAATGTTCCGCGGCGGGCGCGAGCTGCCGCACGACCCCGTCGAAGTGGCGCTACTCTACGCACAAGCCGTGCATAGCGTGGTTAAGGTACGGACGTTTCTTGCTGCAAATTATGCAATTGTCAGATCATTTTATGATAATTATATTTAAATAAGTAAGTAAGTAAGTAAGCTTCACAGTACTCGAGCAACCCGGGTTCGATCCCCGCCGGCACCAATGAAATTGTTAATTGCAATTTTAAGTGCTGATTTACCACGTGCTCGGCGGTGAAGGAAAATATCGTAAGGAAACCTGCATGTCTGAGAAATAAGAAAAAAATATTTCGAAGACATGTGAAGTTCGCCAACACGCATTGGGGCAGCGCGGCGGACATTTCCTTGCCTTAATACCCTCTCAGAAATGAGAGGAGGCCTGTGCCCAGCAGTGGGAAGTAAATAAGCTGCAACTTTACTTTACTTACATGTAATAAAACAAATTTTACAGTGGTGATCACCTTAATTTTAACTTAACTTGTTTTTTTAAATGTATAGTGATATAGTATATACCATTACATTACCCACGGCCACGGCGGTACCGAGGTTTCTTGTGATAGATAATCTACTAAGTGACATTGGTCTTTTCTACCGACTTCAAAAAGGAGACGGTACTCAATTCGACTGTTTGTTTTTTTGTATGTGTGTTACTTCATAATTTTTTTCTGGTGAACCGATTTCTATGATTCTTTTCCTATTTGAAAGTTGATGCTTCTCATGTGATCCCGTATAAATTTGATCAAGATTTGACCAATAGTTTTTGAGTTAATCTTGATAGTTTATATTGAAGTCGGTTGTACAAAATTTTTAATTTTAAATAATGTGTATTAAAGATTTCCTTGCAGATTCAATTTTTACATGCTGCTTTCAATAGTATTCTATAAAAAGGAATGTATGTCGTAAATCATAGTTGAAATGGTTATTTTGACATCTTTCGAAAACCATAAGATTTCTCTTAATCATTTTTACGATACTTACGATATTTCATTCCATTAAAGTGTATCCACAATCTCTAAACGGAAATTCAAATATTGTTCTTTCGTTCGTATTTCTGATCCTAAACATTTTAAATTTTGCAAGTGTTAATAAGATTAATAAATTTACCAATTATGAATCATATTTTTTTATTTATTTCTTTACCAGATGGACGAGTTCCCGGTGTCAGAAAAGGTGGCACTCCAGCTAGCCGGACTGCAAGCACAGGTGTCGCTAGGCGAGCCACCGCCGAGTCCCGCGCCGCCGCATACACGTGCCTACTACGCGCATCCCGAACAGTTTCTTCCGCAACGTATCGCCCGCACGCGCTCTGCGCATCAGTGGGTAAGTGCAAAGGCACACACATGCACACAAGCACACACACACGCACAAAATATGTATACACTCACAGGCTGTACGTCACATAATGACGTAGACCAGCGACACATATCCCAATTTTCATTTTGTAATATATAGGTTATAAACACTTACTATTTTATAATTAATACAATCAGGCGTTACTTTGCGGAAATCTATTATACAAAAACTTTTAGAAAAATTTACTTACTAATAAAATGATGTGTCTTACCTAGTATGAAGAGCACCTCCCGCCCTCCCTCAATTGCGTGCACTATCCCCGTCACCACTAATCCCAGCACCGCTACTCCCAACACCACTACACTAGGCAAGACACACCACTGACGATAATACGACACGTGTTTCGCCTTACTATTTACTATTTTGTTGAATGCAATGTAAATTTTGTTTTGTACATATAAGTACAATAACTATTTTAATATTAAATTGTTATACTATCTTAAACCATACAGTTAGTTACCTACATGGCTCCCTTAAGTGATTGCAACTTAATTGATATCTCGATGAAACCTATAATAAAAAACTTTATGATAAAAATTTATTCATGGCAGGCCACGATTCTGGCGCAAGCACATCGACAGTACGGTGCCGGCCGAGCAGAGCTGACTGCTAAGGCCCTGTACCTCTCGTGTGTGATGCAGTACCCGCTATATGGAGTCACGTTGTTCCCTGTCACATATAAGGGATACTGGGCGCATGGTGAGTGTAATATCATGTCTTATCATTATACTAAAATAAGTTGTTTTAAAACTCAAATCTAACCTTTATTATATACTTTCTACGTAAAGGTATATGATAACGACACAAATAAGTGTACTTTAGTTGATATAACTATGCGATAGCTAAACGTCTACAAGCATGATGATAAGCGTTAGCTATACTATGTATTACCATTTTCAGGTCCGAACGTACTCCTTGGAGTTGGAGCAGAGGGTGTCGTCCTTGTAAGGCCCGCGGACAAAGTGGTTCTGGCAGAATATCCGTACAGCAACATTGCGGCTCTGTTAATGGACCCTGTAGACAACGGACTCACCATCAGTTTGACACATCATGGTCAGCACGATGGACTGAGGTAAGTTAACAAAGTATATTATTGCTTTCATTTTCAAATGTTTCTTCTTCGTTGGGTATTTTTTATATGAACTGATATCAGTTCATATAAAAAAAAAAACAATTATATAATTTACCCTGATTAAAGACACTTGTATTTTTAGCAATAGTGGCTCTATCTGTAATTTGACCTGAATACTTGTGAAACATTATTAGATTATCTGCCCAGCTAAGTCTCGTAGTCAATTGCAAATGTGTTGATAATCTATGAAAAGTTTCAAAATCCGGAACCGTCAGGAGTTATGGCGGAAACTTTAGCGGCGGCGGATTGCTGCTCCTGTGCTATTGTTTAAATAATGGGTTGAAGTGGATTTTGATATGTAAAAGTTTTACGATTTTATGTATTAAATGTCTGCGTATGTAAACTATTAGTGGAAACAGTAAAACAAGTGCTCGGATGGTGATGTGAATCTCAAGATAAGGTATTTGTCTGTGCAATGTGACGCATCAACATATTGTGAAGCAATGTACCTTCTATAAAGAATTATTATCACTTGATACTAAGATAAATGAGCGAAAACATGGCTTAAAAGATGAGCATCCAAGCCAAAAAAAGTTTTAAAAATATCTGGAAGAGTCCGGTCAGTGCTTGTTAAATACGCACAAACGTCGGCAGGTGCATCGTCCTGGAATCGGCGCAGAAGCAAGAGGCCGCGTGGCTGATGGCGGCGTACAGCCCGACGCTGGCGAACGGGCTCGCGGAGGAGCCGCCGCGGCGTGCGGCGCCGGCGGGCGAGCGCGCGCGACTGGCGGCCGCGCTGCGCGCCGCGCGCCGCGCGCTCGTCGACTCCGGCCTGCTGCGCCGCCCCACCGACCTCTCAGCCGGCGGCTTCCTCAGGAACACGCTACGCAGGTAGGTACGCGACTACCCACTCTATTCCCTTGTAATAACAATTATTTTAATAATATTTGCGAAAAAACTCAGTTGTCAGTGACTAACGTGACTGTCCTGCTGTGCTGCCATGTTATAGTCTCTACCAGCGGCTTTTTCAAGTTTACCACTATGCACTTTATTCTTATTCAGTAAAAATCATTACCAAAATAACAAAATATATTACCTTAACCAACGTAATACGACAACCCATTAACTCTCACGCTCCGTGGGTACTCAACTATACACTCTGGTCCTCTGGAATTGTAATTACTTTGCTGTTGTTTTTTTTTTTTTTACGTAAATGTATTGAATAACTTTACTCTGTCCTGTTACACCTCTGCGTCGACCTTCCCACTGGCAATTTTCTCAACTTTACGCCTTTGAACTCAGTTCTTATGCAGTATAGATTTACAATAACTTTCTTTTGATAAAACAAATTATTGTAATTAAAGTAACTACCACTTGCCGCGCTCTCATCCGACGGCTTACTCAGTAACGCACTACAGCTTAACGCGACTACACACTCTATAGCCTTGTAATAGTGATCACTTTGCTTTTGTTTTTTCTTGTAAAAAAATAAATTCTCATTGAATTGGTCTCCACCGAAAAATCACTAGTATACACTCTATTTTTATGCAGTAGAGATCATTTTCTTCTGCAGTTAGTTTCTTTTGATAAAACAAATTATGGTAATTAACGTAACTGCGGTTTGTTGCATTATCTCACCCCTCTATTTTCTATGATATAAGTGCTGTTAACCTATGCGGCTCTTACAGCTTTATATGATACAGTAATCCCACCGACCTTTTAGCTGGCGGCTTCCTCAGGAACACGCTCTACAAGTACGCGACTATGCACTCTATTTTCAGTGTTTTTTTTTTTAGAATCAAGACCAGTACTAGAGATATTTTTGCTCTACGGTAACTTGCAATTAAATAAATTCTTATAAACTATCGTGACTACCCGCCAGCTACGCCACTTCACTGACCTATCGGGACTTTTATTAAAATCTCGTAGGTAAATGACAGCATACTCTATTTCCTTGCAGCAATAAGTAATAATTCTCATTCAGCAAAAATCATTTTGTAAAGTAGAATGTACTTCAAATAATTAAGGTACGTAAGGGTAATATGGTCACCTTAAGCTTTGCCTCCCTTTAAAACCAAAAATAGGAGGAGAACAGAGACTAAAACACAAAGCCGTATACTGTAACTAATATATTAAGAGTAACAAGCTTTGGCAATAATTAGAAACACTTCGAAAAATCAACTTAAAAAATCTAACTACACTACACAATACTTAAATCGACTGAATATTTACTTAAAGTAATTAGTATCAACCATCAAAATGGCGTTGATAAAGCCGGGCCCTTTTGACCATTTATTACTTGATCATGTCAAAGAGCCATCTATGCAAAAAAGACTAGTTTTTGAGTTTTAAGAAGATGACCATATCAACCGGATGACCATATTATCCACACGTACTATATTGATTTCTTTCAACAACTACAACCATCATCTCGTCTAAGTTGTTTGTTCGCTGCTGGATAAGTGGAAGGATTTGATGTAATTATTTTGCGACGTAAATGAAACTGCGTTTTGTCATACAATCCTCTCGATGAATTCTATACGATGGAAAACTCATGCTCAGTTGCCTCACAGTTTTGATGCTGTTGCTTACTTCAACACTATTGTATAGTTTTGAGTCTGACATTTAAGAAATTTTCATTCTGTAATATTTCCAATCTAAGGCAATAAAGCTTTCTTGGTAATATTATTATTATAGTTTTACATCTCCCATCGGAGGCATTTTAACCATGTACAATATTACATTAAAATGAGTTACAAGAGATAAAATCTTAATATGCTTAATATGATATTTTGATCGCTTAGGCTAAGCAAACACCGATTGGAGCGCGTCCGTCTAGACACAGCGACAGAAACGCAAGGGGAGTGTTACAAGGGCTTCCCTTCAGGCTATTGGTGCTGGGCGCGTTCACTGCCTCACAGCCTTACCAAGCTCAACGAAGCGGAGGAAGTCGCCGCCATGCAGATATTCAAGGTTCAAAAAACTTTTCCACCTTAACCAAACATATTTTTTTATTCTAATAATAAAACGCAACATCTTTAAATAGTCATTATTTAAAGATATTGCGTTTTTACACAACTTATATACAAATTTAATGAAAACATAAATACTTCGAATAAAAATAATAACCAAATTAAAGGAATAAAGTGTTTTATAAAATTATACCGTATCTAATGCTTAACTTAAGTAAAAAATACTTGCTAAATCGCCTCTCCCGCTCAGTTGCCTGTCCGTAATGAGATGTAATAAGATGTCCCTGTATTAACGTCGTGCCTCAGAACCCCACTGCCTCAACGTTTTTACAGCAAACGGCACTAAGATGTATGTACCCCTCTCCGAGGGCAGCATATTTGCGCCACTTGTTAGACTCAGTAGCAGCAGCTATGACTTGCTTGTGTGCACTTATGTGTCAACACAAGTCGCATCACATACTAAGGAGCGCCCATTTTTCCATGGTATGAGCGTCATTCCATCAAGCCTCTTGCCATCGTCCCTCAATATACCACTTGGCTCTGAAATTGCAGGTACGTTGTCACTAGTTAAGGCCTGTTTAATGACGTCATTAATAGCTGTGTTTAGGCCAAATATTAACATTTTAAAAACTTGCATTCAAGACGCGCGCTCGGCGCGTTCATTCGAAGGTACCAGTCACCGCCTGGCACCCCCCGCGCGCGTCTCTCCGCTCACCGCTCGGCCCCTCGACGTGTGGGCAATTGAGTTGGTTCGCGGCAGCCGTGTCGGTTATATGTTACGTGAAAATCGTTAGGTCGCGTTAAGCCCCCCTCCTTTGCGTTGTCTGTTTCGTGCGTTTTACGTGACAACGAGGTTTATCCTTGAGTTTTGAGTGATTAATTTAACTTCGATTGCCATTAATTTGCGTCGACGAGTTGTTTGTGTGGTATTTTAATATCGTAATAAGACATTTTTGCTTTGTCGGGTGGAACGCTAAAACTTTGTGACCCGAGAGTTGATCGCGGTCGTTTTCGAGTATAAGTTTGTGCAAAGTGAACATGGGACATTGAACTTTGACCGACAGTTCTTAAGTTGTGCAGTGTGTCACTTGTTTTAAGTTCGATTAACGTTGATTTGGTTAAATTTGAAGTCATTAAATGTACAATAAAATTGATAAACTAATATAGTGAAATAAAAGCAGAAAGTTTCAATTGGTGAACGCCCACTGGAGGGATCGCACATTGTGAAGAAAAGCAGCGCCTGCGGGTCTGCTCTCAGATTACATCGGTGACGTCAGGTTACATTTACACACACTTTCGCACACTACTTACATACACCTTACTTACCACCTGGCTGCGCCTTGTGGTCGACACTACCTCCGGAACTCGGTAAGTTTGTGTTTGCTTATCAGCCATTAAATAATAATTATCCATAGGCCACTTGTGCCCGAACTCTCTGGTTGCTCCTCGAGGGGATCACTCATGGGCCCTGGTCCAGTCGACTTCTGTCGGGGCAACTGAGGGCCGTAACAAGCTGCATTGCGAGGGATGCGACCAGCGCTCCGCTGGCATGCTAGGCCGTGATAGCCGAGAATGTCTACCTCTATCACAGCGACAGCGATGGAGCTCATTTGTTTTTAAACCTAATCTCAAGCTGATGGCGAGAATGAAAGTAGTGCTGTCCAAGGGTATTCCGATATTTGATGAGGGCAGTGCATTCAACCAGAAGCCCGACTCCCTCTCCACAAATGCTAGGTGACAAGCTCGCTCTGTAGAGTTTTAATAGGTTTTTCTGAACCTGAATACTGAGCGGCTCATTCCAATGCCTCTGCGAAGCTGGGTTTATCGGAAAATCCTGGTCCGGCCCGGTCTTATTGTATCAGGCTACCTTGGCCTCAGCCAAGTACGAGAAATTTTTTATTTTCAATACTGGTCCTCGTAGTCGAACTAATAACCTAATATTAACAGCAATTTATATTTTTTTTATTGTTCGCATTCGCAGAATTTACAATTACATACTTACAGCTACAAATTTTCATAATATTGATGTTTGAACTCCCATCTTGAAGGATCTTATGATATCTCTATTTCATTTTAAATAACGATCATTTTGCTGGGCATTTCCTTTAATAAAATAAAGTCTCATTAACTGACGAGACTCCGACCTGCAGTGCCGCCCCACCTACCTCTCTGCAGTTTTCTCAGAAATACGTTATACGTATTTATATGTTATACGTATTTATACGTTATATGGTTCTAATGCAATAGAAATAAAAATTTCACAAAGCGTACCATCCGACGATGTGTTTGTCACGCACGCTGAACATCCCGCAACGCTACACATTTAGTTTTTACGCTTAGCTAATAACGATATAAAGAAATTGCCTCTATCGGTTATAATTTCCCAGAAAGAGCAGGTGATAGAAGATTTTCCGTAATACAATTTTTTTTATAAATATTTGTTAAATATGTACGTCCATTCAACTCAAACAGGACATAATGAGCCATGCGGGGCTGAACACGAGCGAGGGCAGCACAAGCAACTTGGCCAATAACAACAGCAGTGGCTCCAGCAACAACAGTAACAACAGCCAGGAGGGTGACGGCGACGACCGCGTGGCGCTCGCGCAGGCGCTGCTGCAGCGCTGCCTGCAGAAGGACACGCTGCTCTGCGAGCTCTACATGCAGCTCATCAAGCAGGTAATTGCAGCTGTTCACATAGGACTGTAAGAAGGAACGCACGAAATTGGATTTAAATTATTTTGCTAGCTTTATCAGTTGAGAAATTTAGGTTCAGTTGTTTAGGACGAGTTCTTTGCAATAAAATAGTTTTTTCAGGATGCAGGTGATGATAGAACTTGGAGAAGGAAAGTTAAATGGGACACTCTCTTCTCAAATGTAACATATTCCACCTGATGGTAAGTGGATGTTTTAGCCCATCGACCTACACCGCTTATAAATGGTTCAGTGGGGCCCCCATATATCCAAACTAGCAACCAGACTAAGTTCTGCAGCCTATGCTGTAAAAAAGATTGGAGGTCTCACTAGTGTCGAGACAGTTAGATTAGTTTATTTCAGTTATTTTCATAGCTGATTCAGAAACTATTTTTGTTTTACAGAAGAGAGCCATTAGAGCTATTTACAACTTAAAACCGAGAGAGTCTCTTAGAGATAAATTTAAAGAAATAAATATATTAACTTTGACCTCTCAGTATATTTAGGAAAATTTAATGTATGTTCACAAAAACAAAGGAAGTTTTAGTAAAAAAAGTGATATACACTCTGTAAACACTAGGAACAAACACAAGCTAGTGATACCAGTTTCACGACTCCACAGAGTCAGTAATTCATTCTTGGGGTAATGTTCGCGCTAAATGTTAATTTTTAAAACTGCATTACGAGCGCTCTCGTCCGATGGTAACAGGGGTCGCTGCCGGGCCTCCTCTCTTCTCCGCGCGCGTTCCCCCGCTCACGCCCGGTCACCTGATGTGGCGATTAACGGGACTGGTTTTGCCGAGGCGTCGAGCGCCACGACAGTAGCTCGGCGTGTGGGCCATGGTATAGTATTGTTTGCGACCGTTAGTAGGTTTAATAGGTAAATTTTGAAATCAACCGGTGTTTGATTTCAAAATTTGGGTTAATTGTGCGAGTATTTTTGAATTTACAATTGAATATTTGGGTCTAGTTAAGACCGCCTCGAATTGAGTGTCTGTTTTGAGAGTTACGTGGCAAGAGGCCTTATTTGAGTTTTGAGCTTGTATTGTGTTTGAATTATTAACTTAACTTTGATTGATATTGGTTGGATACGACGAGTTGCTTTGTGGCATTTTAATATCGTACGAAAGAATTTGGCTTGTTCGGGAGAACGCTGAACCTTGTGACTCAAGAAGAGACCGCGTTCGTTCCCGTGTTTGTAATTCTGTGCGAAGTGAACCCGGAACCTTGTATATTGAACTTTGAACGACTGTTCGTTACTTGTGTCGTGTGTCACTTGTTTTAATTTCGATGAACGTTGAATTGGTTGACTTTGAAGTTAATTAAATGTACAATAAAGTTGATAAACTAATATAGTGATATAAAAGCAGAAGTTTTCATTTGGTGATCGCCCCCCTTGAGAGATCTCACTTTTGGAGAAAAGCAGCGCTTGTGGATCTGCGGTCCGACTTCAACGGTTAAGTCAGGTTACATTGTACACACTACTACACACTACTTACATGCACATCACTTACCACCTGACTGGTACCCTGTGGTCAACCCTACCTCCGAAGATCGGTAAATTTACCGATCTTCGTTTGATTATCAGCCGTTTAAGAATAATTGTCCATAGGCCATTGGGCTCCACCCTTGGTTGCTCGTCGAGTGTTCCGCTGATGGGCCCCGGGATAGTCGATCCTTGTCGGGGCAACTAGGGGCGTGTACAGGTAATGTATTGCTATTACAACAAAGTCCCAGAAAATATACAAGGTCTTTCGATTACCAAGTTTAAATATTTAAGTAAACAAAAATTGTATAAAAAGGGGTTATTGTAATATGAATACATAATTGATAATAACCCCTGGCAATGAGGTGGTCGCTTCCAAGCTGTTTCTAAAATAAGTTTTATAAATAGTTTGTAACCATTTATATTGCAAAATTTATTTTTAAAAAAAGCCGCTGGGTTTCGGGGTCCTATCATTTGTAATAAAGTTTCAAAATCAGATGTTGAATTCGAGTAAACTTCACAAAAGATCCGTCAGACATTCGAAGATCACTTAAATTTTAACTCTTCTTTCTTCTCGTTGTAGTAAGAAATCCCGCATTGAACACCTTCTCTTTCGCTTATGTTTCAGTCCCGGAATACTATGTACTATGTACGCAACACTAATCATGTTGCGCCACGATGTTGCGGAACATGCCGCTCCTTTTGTCCCCAAGTATATCGAAGGCTTTATGCTAGCACTGTGTGCAAGCGTGGTCCTCTCCCAATTGCGATTGAATTCAGGAGGATTAAGAAAAGTATAATCGCATTGAACTTCTTGTTTTCCGTTTGTTATGATTTATTTAATTGTGCTTACCGTTAACGCTTCCAATCAGCTCTGGACAAAGTAGTAGTTGTAAACATTTACAACTTACAATTACATTCTGGTTTAGGCATCTCAGGATCCTTACTCTGTCAGCGTAATGATCCTGAATTCAGTGCAGTGATATCATCATCATCATTACCAATATTATTACAGTCCTTCACAAGTCCACTGTTAAACTAAGACCTCCCCTAAGGAATACTAATGAGGAGTAACAAATCCGCTTGGTTTCTTAAATCCTAATTAGGATTGTTAAATCGAGTACGATGTAGGAAGATCTGAATTTGCATGCGTACTTACCTGGGTACCTAAATAACAAAGCTAGTGTAACCAGGTGGGGGCCGGTAATTAAACTCTAACTTATAGATAAAAATTTGGTTGTTAAAAAAACATACGCGCGTGTGTTGCGCAGACGACGGAGCACCCGGATCCATCGTCGCGCGTGTCGGCGCGGCACTGGGCGCTGCTGTGCGCGGCGGTGGGCGCGGCGCTGCCGCCCGCCAAGCCGCTGCGCCGCCTGCTGCTGGCGCACCTGCGCTACCGCGGCACCGCGCTGCACGCCGGCGAGGAGGGCAAGTTCGCGCGCCGCGCCGAGCAGGTACGCGCAACCACTCGACCACTCTCCCTCTCTCTCTCTGCCGTACGCGGCGGTGGGCGCGGCGCTGCCGCCCGCCAAGCCGCTGCGCCGCCTGCTGCTGGCGCACCTGCGCTACCGCGGCACCGCGCTGCACGCCGGCGAGGAGGGCAAGTTCGCGCGCCGCGCCGAGCAGGTACGCGCAACCACTCGACCACTCTCCCTCTCTCTCTCTGCCGTACGCGGCGGTGGGCGCGGCGCTGCCGCCCGCCAAGCCGCTGCGCCGCCTGCTGCTGGCGCACCTGCGCTACCGCGGCACCGCGCTGCACGCCGGCGAGGAGGGCAAGTTCGCGCGCCGCGCCGAGCAGGTACGCGCAACCACTCGACCACTCTCCCTCTCTCTCTCTGCCGTACGCGGCGGTGGGCGCGGCGCTGCCGCCCGCCAAGCCGCTGCGCCGCCTGCTGCTGGCGCACCTGCGCTACCGCGGCACCGCGCTGCACGCCGGCGAGGAGGGCAAGTTCGCGCGCCGCGCCGAGCAGGTACGCGCAACCACTCGACCACTCTCCCTCTCTCTCTCTGCCGTACGCGGCGGTGGGCGCGGCGCTGCCGCCCGCCAAGCCGCTGCGCCGCCTGCTGCTGGCGCACCTGCGCTACCGCGGCACCGCGCTGCACGCCGGCGAGGAGGGCAAGTTCGCGCGCCGCGCCGAGCAGGTACGCGCAACCACTCGACCACTCTCCCTCTCTCTCTCTGCCGTACGCGGCGGTGGGCGCGGCGCTGCCGCCCGCCAAGCCGCTGCGCCGCCTGCTGCTGGCGCACCTGCGCTACCGCGGCACCGCGCTGCACGCCGGCGAGGAGGGCAAGTTCGCGCGCCGCGCCGAGCAGGTACGCGCAACCACTCGACCACTCTCCCTCTCTCTCTCTGCCGTACGCGGCGGTGGGCGCGGCGCTGCCGCCCGCCAAGCCGCTGCGCCGCCTGCTGCTGGCGCACCTGCGCTACCGCGGCACCGCGCTGCACGCCGGCGAGGAGGGCAAGTTCGCGCGCCGCGCCGAGCAGGTACGCGCAACCACTCGACCACTCTTCCTCTCTCTATCTCTCTCTGCCGTGCGCGGCGGTGGGCGCGGCGCTGCCGCCCGCCAAGCCGCTGCGCCGCCTGCTGCTGACGCACCTGCGCTACCGCGGCACCGCGCTGCACGCCGGCGAGGAGGGCAAGTTCGCGCGCCGCGCCGAGCAGGTACGCGCAACCACTCGACCACTCTCCCTCTCTCTCTCTGCCGTACGCGGCGGTGGGCGCGGCGCTGCCGCCCGCCAAGCCGCTGCGCCGCCTGCTGCTGGCGCACCTGCGCTACCGCGGCACCGCGCTGCACGCCGGCGAGGAGGGCAAGTTCGCGCGCCGCGCCGAGCAGGTACGCGCAACCACTCGACCACTCTCCCTCTCTCTCTCTGCCGTACGCGGCGGTGGGCGCGGCGCTGCCGCCCGCCAAGCCGCTGCGCCGCCTGCTGCTGGCGCACCTGCGCTACCGCGGCACCGCGCTGCACGCCGGCGAGGAGGGCAAGTTCGCGCGCCGCGCCGAGCAGGTACGCGCAACCACTCGACCACTCTCCCTCTCTCTCTCTGCCGTACGCGGCGGTGGGCGCGGCGCTGCCGCCCGCCAAGCCGCTGCGCCGCCTGCTGCTGGCGCACCTGCGCTACCGCGGCACCGCGCTGCACGCCGGCGAGGAGGGCAAGTTCGCGCGCCGCGCCGAGCAGGTACGCGCAACCACTCGACCACTCTCCCTCTCTCTCTCTGCCGTACGCGGCGGTGGGCGCGGCGCTGCCGCCCGCCAAGCCGCTGCGCCGCCTGCTGCTGGCGCACCTGCGCTACCGCGGCACCGCGCTGCACGCCGGCGAGGAGGGCAAGTTCGCGCGCCGCGCCGAGCAGGTACGCGCAACCACTCGACCACTCTTCCTCTCTCTATCTCTCTCTGCCGTGCGCGGCGGTGGGCGCGGCGCTGCCGCCCGCCAAGCCGCTGCGCCGCCTGCTGCTGGCGCACCTACGCTACCGCGGTTATGGCGACACTAACTAATACAAAATGTCACTGTTTTTATTACTTGCTTTACGGCTCTGGGTTCTAGCCCTTCTGAGAGTGTCACTATATGACACAAAGGACCTGGCGCCATGCCAGAATTTTTTGATGTATAGACGCTACCATTCCTTCTCAACTAATTTTATGTATGAAAGTCTGCCATTGTTCTTTTGAACATGGTTTGCGCCAGCCCGCCTGCACCAATAAAAATTTTAATTGCAATTTTAAGTGCTGATTTACCACGTCCTCGGCAGGGAAGAAAAACATCGTGAGGAAACCTGCATATTTGAGAAATAAGAAAAAAATATTTCGAAGACATCTACAGTTCGCCAACACACATTGGGGCAGTGCGGCGTACATTTCTTGCTTTAAATCCCTTTCAAAAATGAGAGGAGCTCGGTGACCAGCGGGACTTACATAAATAAGCTATAACTTTAACTACATTTATTTCTGTTTTATTAATTATAAGCTATTCTTTTATTTGTTATGTTAACAATTAACAAATACCAAAACGTGAATTAAAAAATTTAAAACTGTTTAAAAGAGAAAAAACCGACTGTCATATTCATATATAAAACTTGTACCACAATACACACGTCGCAAGACTATATACGTCAGTGTAGGCACACCACAATGTTTCGGCAGCTAGTAAATTTTGTCAATAGACTGCAATTTAGCATTTTTTTATACATATAACATCATACACGTCATAAGTGCGCGGATTGTATGGAATTAAGAAAGAAGTTGTCGTGGGTGGCAGGTGGCGCTGAGCATAGCGCAGGTGGGGCGGCGCACGAGCGCGCCGTCGCGCGAGGAGCTGCTGTGCGCGGCGGCGCGCCGGCCCATGCACGTGCGCGTGCTGCTGCTGGACGGCAAGCAGCACGGCCTCGTGTTCGGCCCGGCCGCCACCGCCGACCACCTCGTGGCCATGCTGCGCGACAAGATCGGCCTCAGCGACGCCGCCACCGGTCAGTCTCACACACTTCCACTTTTCAAACGACTTCACAAACAGGAAAAACTTCTCCGTTACGATCTCCCCGTATATTGTGTCCCTCGTGTTTGTGTTGGCAGGTGATTTTTTTATTGTTATTAAGATGACCTGTCTATCTCCTGGTTTGTTTCCCTCTGTCCTCTCTTACAACACCTACGGGACGATTTAGGCTAGTAGTTAGGCTAGTAGTTCCAATATCTAATATTGGTACCTCAAAATGGAATCAGTTTATCTTGTAGGGATGTGAATAACGAACACACCACATATTAAATGTTTATTCACAACATAAATTCAAAGTAGCGGATCAGAGCGCGAACGATCGGCTTGACGACGTCGGACGATTGGATCGACTGGCAAGGTGAGCAAAAACAGAACTAGTTACCCCCGTGCAGTTGAGGGCTTCCAAAGATTGCCCAACGGTCGAATAGGCCAGGCTGTGCCACCACATTATTTATGCAGACGAGCGCGTTTTCTTAAAATATTTTTTACACTTATTACCTGTTCTTGAGCACTTTTAACCTCCGTGAACGCTACCATAATTTTAGTGTCTTCATAACTTTGCGCCTCTTTGACGTAGACACGACTCTTTATACACAGATAAAAGATTAACGGTGAAAGTTCCGGCTAGTTTGCAGACCCTAATAGGACCTCCGTGCGCAATCCACCTATCTTCATATTCACTATATAAGTTATCGCTCACTGCACTTGAATAGTTTCATTATCCGTCAATTGTTATTCGATTGGTAGGTTATTTACGATGTTTAAGGATTTAATAACGAAGTACGTTAATTTCTTAACGCGTTAGACTCATTTTAGTATCTTTGCGCACCTTACTTTCATTTTTTAATATGTAATGTTACACCATTTCATAGTATCCGTGGTTCGAATATTTGCGTTACGTCATTGGCAAAGAAGGGTACGTAATGAGCTCACAGTCAACACTATCAGCTGTCGGGGTGTCGGGCGGGCGAGCGGACGTAAGTATTTAACGGTATAACGGCAAATAAAAGGGATGGGCGTGAGAACACGCTCGACAAGTTACCTTACCGTGCGACCCTTACGAGTGTGTGCGTGCGTAAAATAGTACGCGTCAGATATTTTGTGAATGATAGTCAGTTAAAATAATGCATTACATTTTTAAATTTAAAAGATGAAATGACAGAATGCTTGAGATTTTTTTAATTAATTTTCTTCACCGTTTGCCTACGTTACTTATTCTGAAGCTTTTCTGCAAATTTGGGTGGTTATTGCAAAATAACTCTGTATATTTGGTCTCATGATAAGATTCATGAGAAAATCATCAAACTCTTCCAATTTGCGAAGGCATCTCTACAACATAATATGGAAGAATAATTCCTTACCACGGCAACTGATTTCCGTAAAAAGTAAAGCTTTAATTTTCAATCAACATTTGGTTCAGGACTTTGTTTTGTTGTATTCCGGTAATGATGATATATTGTTTACTATTTCGTCAGGCCATTTTTAAATGATTCAAATTTCAAGTTTAAATTTTGACTATTTTATCCTGAAATAACGCCATTAATTACATACCTTATTATTTCATTACTGTTGCGCGCCACTATTAATGTCTTGTACATAGCAACACTAGTTACCACTAGCGCCCTCTAGTATCGAGTAGCAGAGTCAAGATCCTTCTAGAAATTTCGGGACCTATAGTTTCATTTCAATTTTATCATATCAGAAATGTAATTAAAATAGTAATGTCCTCGGCCAATACAAATGATTTTGGTCAAGTTGGCCAGTCTCAACATAGACAATCTCTACCGCCCCCCCCCCCCCCGCACACAAAAAAAATGCAACAAGAGTAAACTTTGCTATTTACAACACAATTAAAAGAGCAAAACTCTGAGTGTTGTGTATTATATTATGAGGAAAACTTACCTTCAACCTTGAAGTCAAATGCTATTATTTTCATTATAAGCCCTGATGGCAAAGTTGCCACAAATTGAGGTTGACTTTGGCATTTTATATTTTTGAGTATTTTGTCTATTTAATGTTAGTATTTGTTTAAATCACTAATAAATACCAAATCTATGAAGAATATAATGTCACATTTAACATTGACGGCCCATACTGACAGTACATTTTTTGTTGGAAAATTGGTCCTAAACTTTAAGTCCCTCTAAAAATGGCAAAGTTGCCAGGTTTCAACGGTGGTGAATGTATTGAGCAGGCTACGCGCTGTACGAGGTGTGCGCGAACTCGACGCCGGCGGGCGCGGGCGAGCGCGCGCTGGCGGGCAGCGAGCGCGTGGGCGACGTGCTCGCTCGCTGGGAGAAGGCCGGCGCCACCGCCGCCTCCTGCAGGTACACACTAGTGAATGTGTTGAGCAGGCTACGCGCTGTACAAGGTGTGCGCGAACTTGACGCCGGTTTTTATCTTCCCTCTTTTAGATTCCCCCTGTCGCCTCTTACGACACCCACGGGACGATGTGGGGTAGTGATATTTTTAAAACGTCACTACACGGTTAGAGGTAATACAACCTACTTCTAACAAACTTTATACGTTGTAGAGCCATGTTGTAGATACATATATTATGGTTGTAGTACAAAAAGGTCGGCTCGATCGTGGAATTACTACGCTCACGGAATACAAGTGAGGAACTAGCAACTTAATTCTGCTGTTTCGTATGTGTAAATAAAAAGAACCGGAGACTTTTTCACTGAAAACGAGACATGCCGTCTTACTCTATAGGGGTAACAACGTAACTCCATTTTGATTTGGCCTATGGGTCACAGCATCCACTTACCATCAGGTGGACTGTGTACTGGTTTTTCACCCCTATTTTATAAAAAAAAATCGAACATAAATATTATGTTCGATTTTTTTTATCTTCATAGTCCTGTCATGTCTCTCCGGGACATGACAGGACTATGATGATAGCCTCTCATTCCTTTATGCTTTTGTAATTCGCTAGTGTTATTAAGTCCTAACCCTTGTCGTACTCCGACACCTGACCGTGCTAAATAATGCGTGTTATAGCGCCAAATAACAGCGCTTGCACTGCTTTGTTCGTTTCTGATGTGTTAAGTGCCAGTATAGTTACAGGCTGTGAAACATTCCAGAGCGCATAGCGTCAATGAGATGTTTATACCGCCATCTAGCGGAAGTCATGAGTTATTTCTGGTCTTTCATATAGTCGTCACTTATAATTTCTCACGACACCCTCCAGACATAATAGGATGATGGACTATTTGACATCGCACCATACAACAGTGGTAGAAGTTGTCGCCGGAGTTGAATCAACTGTAATATTTGTGGGATTACCAAATTTATTGTTTTTCAGACTGGTATTCAAGAAACGGCTTTTCCTGGGCGAGCGTCCGTTACACACGGCCTGCGTAGCCGAAATGGAGCTTTTATACTACCAAGTGTTGCACGCGATACGCCACGACCGTCTTCCCATTGAAACTGATGAAGCTGTGAGTATAGCAACGCGTTTATTTATTGCTATTATATTTATCAATTTTCTATTTTTTCCCTAAGTTTTATATGGCACTCACTGGAAAGGCTAAGGAATAAGTACGATTACAATATAAATTATTGAAATACAAAAATAAGTTATATAAAGTAAACTATAATTAAAACTCTAACAAGAACTTTTTACAAATGACTGTCGCTTGACAAAAATATGTTTAAAAATATGGCCAAATGATAGCATAATTTTTATGTTTCACCATAGTACTCTGTACGCACCTTTGGGACTCTAAAGCCGTGTATCGATTATGCGCTCCAAGAGGTCGAACATTGGCGCGTGTCCCAGCCGCGCGAAATGGATACCGCCTCCGAACGCGCGCCAAATTGTTCGTTGAAACGCTCAAACGTGGAGCGGGCCGTTCCATCTGGTGTCGGTATTTTACCCCGTATCAAAGTAGTAGAGTTATGGCACGCGCGCCAATTGGGACGGTTGTTTTCATCATTCGTATGTTCGTTGCGTTCCGAGCTATGGATAACAAAAGTTGCCGTAAATTGATAAAATTTTATGGTTCAAATCAAGATCTGCTGTGGAATATCAAAAGTGGGTTTTCAATCGACTCCAAAAAAGGAGGAGGTTCTTAATTCGTCAGAATTAAGAACCTCCTCCTTTTTTATGCATATTCACCGATACTCGAAGACGCCTGACCAACAAAACAGAATTTTCCAAAATGTTTATTTTGGAAAATTCTGTTTTGTTTCAAAGGGTATAGTTATATAGGGTTCCCAGGTGGTCCCATTTAAATTTCGTCGAAATTGGTCGACCGGTTTTTAAAAAATCAACAATAAATTATTTATATTGAAGTCAGTAGTACAAAGTTTTTAAATTTCTCCACTTGTATCATAATAAAGCGCTCAGACAAGATGTATGGAGAGAACTATGAAAGCGGCAGCTGCTCGTGTACGACCAATTTCCAAACAAACAGTTCAAACAGCGTTTCGCAGAACGCACTGGTCGGCGCGGTCATTCATGGCACGCGCGCCAGGAGCGCGTAATCGATACGCGGCTTAAAGCTTTTAATTTACTATCGTAAATAAATTGTTGTTCAGGTTCCTCTAATGAATGTTACAGGCTGATGAATCTTTTGCTGCTTGCCTCTTCTCTTTCATTATTCACGCCTTCCCCTAGTTTTGTCGTTTGACGCTTCTTCGTTTTTATTTTACAGTACCAACTAAGTCTCGAACATTGTCAATGTATGCCACTACTTGTATCTTAATGAGTAAGTATTTATGCTGGGTGTACACTAAAAGTGAATGTTTATTGATCAAAAATTTATGTTGCTGAAATTATATTTATAATTTGTTCAAATTTGTATATAGATCCTTAGATACTGCTTCAACCTGATCCAGCTCGAAGGACCACGACACACCTACATGTTCATAAGCAAATTGAGACGTATTTGATAATTTCCCCTATGCACTCTTTTCAAAACTGGCTAGATCTACTTTCTGCTTTTCGATTAATTGCTTAAATAAAATAATAAATGTAGATTTGATTTTTTTTTACCAATGTTACAAATAAATGTATAAAATTTGTTCGTACCTCAAATAATATCCAATTTAAAAATAGGTATGTCGTAAAAAGGAAAACGTATGTACAAAATAAAAATATTAAAATTTAAAATTCCAATTATACGGAGTGCCATATAACGTTGCTATTTCGAATTACTCTAATAGCGTAAAAAAATCATGCGAAAAATGTACTTACGGGAAACGACTTAAGGCATAATTCTCTATGCGCGAAATTATATGAAATAGGACGGGATGGTGGGAGGGTGCAAGAATGAGTTGGATAAAATAAGAATTATAATAAAAAACTAAATTAAAAATTTTGAAAAGTCCCACGACGGATATAAAAGTTGTTAGTTGTACCCTAAAGTTTTGAACAATCCCCGACTAAAAGGAACTAAGTCACGAAAGGTAAAAATAAAAAGCATTTTAAAAGGTTTAATTTGTCGTGGGTACTATCATAATAAACAGCTAATTATGACTTCTTAGTCCTACCTTTATTTACATATTTCTTTGTTTTGTACACATATTCACGTACCTATTATGTAATTATAGATCGGGAGAAAAAGTTTCTTCGTATTTTGTTTGTATAAAATTGTTGTATCATCTGGCTGATTTTAATATCAATACGTAAAGGATTTTAAGAAAATGAATAATAAAAAGTAAAAAACACTCCCGTCATTTTTCAATTGTTTTTCTGTCCGCCAAAATGAGTGAATCTAACGAAGAAATTCGATACATTCTGAAGATTTATTACAAATGGTAAAATTAAAAATTTTGTTCAGCCGGCTTGAATATTCGTGACAAATTTATTTGGGACCACATAAGAAGCACCAGCTTTCAAGTAAGAAAAGAATCATCGAAATCGGTTCACCTAGAAAAGTTACATAAAAAACATACAGTCGAATTGAATACCCCCCTTTTCGAAATCCTTTCCTTTTTGAATTCGGTAGAAAAAAGGGAAAACTTGGACTAAAGCCGCAAAAAGAAATTTTTGACGTGTTCGTGTCAGTAAGAGTAACACAAAGTTGGTACAAGCGTTTTCAGTCCGGGAATTTTAATGTCAAAGATCCAGCTCGCTCTGTTCGACCTCATACGGATAAAGTCGATGACATTTTTAAAAAAGTGGAGCAAGATCGGCATATTTGTAGTAACGACAAAGCCGAGGAATGGAGGATTGACCACAAAACAGTTTTGCCCCATTTGAAAAAGTCTGGCTATACAAAAAAGCTCGATATTTGGTTACCACACGAGCTCACTGAAATCATTTGCGATTCTCTATTGAAACGTAATGAAAACGAACCATTTTGCAAAGATTGATCACTGGTGATGAAAAGTGGATCACCTACGATAAGAACGTGCAAAAAAGATCATGGTCAAAGGGTAGTCAAGCTCCACAGACTGTAGCGAAACCCGGTTTAACACGCAATAAGGTGATGTTGTGTGTATGGTGGGATTGGAAGTTTTACAAGTTCAAGAATCCAGTAAGAAATGGAAGAAAAACGGCCGGAATTGATCAACAGAAAAGAGACAGCCAGCACAGACTAGACCATACACATATTTGGCCACTCAGCAAGAATTAAGAGAGCTTGGTTGGGAAGTGTTAATGCATCCACCATATAATCCTCACCGTATACCCTCAGATTGTCACCTGCTTCGGTATCTTCAGAATTCTTTGGGTAGTGTTAGGTAAGTTAAGTGGTTAACATCAAGAGAGGATTGTCAAACTTACTTGTCGCATTTTTTTTAATCATAAATTCCGAGATTTTTACAGCAACGGGGTTATGTTCGCTACCTAGAAGAAGACAACAATTTATCGAACAGAACAGATAACAATTTATCGCACATATATATTATAATTTACATTTAATTTAAAATTTAAAAATAAAAAATATCTTGACTTTGTATGTAAAATACGAAGAAACTTATGAGTAAATCTGTTGGAGCTGTCATTGTTTGCTCTTTAATGAAGTAAAAGTGCCTTTGTACAAAATATCTTTTTTATTTTTCGTTGTAACATTGCTTTGTGTGTACATAAATTGTAAAATAAATAAATAAAATGTTTGTATTTTTATGTGAAATTACATTGGATACGTAAATAAATATTGTTTTTAATTAATATAAATCGCTGCATGCTTAGTTTTATATTTAAATTGGGAAGAAAGATGGCAATGGTAGCCCCGATGGATGTGCAACTAAGACCATATAAGATAGGCAAGTTAATATCATAACGTCTTTATTAGAACCATCACCGATGAATCAGAAACCTTTTACAGAAAACCTTATTTAAATCGGTCAAATTGTTATGGAGATAAATGGGAATATTCGTTCGTCACACACAAACAAACGAACAAAGAATCCTCTCACATTAATCGCACCTTAAGGTGAAAGCGCCAGGGTGGCCCGCGAAATTCAAATTTTCTTACGTTTTTTGGAATTTGTAGGTCAGGGTCAGGTTGTATGTTTAACAAAATATGATTCGCGACCGTAACGAGTATGTATTTACAGAATTATAATAATTATAATCGTCAATACATCCTTCTAAGTTCGTATAATCTGTAATATCCCTCTGTTTGGTCGTGTCAATTCGAATTGCGTAACGAGTTTACGAGTTGGTGAATGTGAGACGTGAATGCGTGGGGTGTGTGCAGGTGATGGTGGCGGCGCTGCACGCGCAGGTGGTGAGCGGCGAGTGCGGCGGGGCGGGCGGCGGCGGGGAGGAGTGCGCGGCGGCGGCGCGCGGCGTGGTGCCGGCGCGGCTGGGCGCGCTGCCGGCGGGCGCCGTGCGGCTGCACCACCTGGCGCTGCGCGGCACGCCGCCGCACGCCGCCATGCAGCGCGCGCTCACGCTCGCCGCTTCCTGGCCGCTGGCGCGCGCCACCGTCTTCGACGTCACCGTCAGTATACCGCCCGCCTACTTAATTCAATACATCACACTACTTTTTTTTCTTTTGTGATTGTCTCGGACGGTTGTACTTTTGCCAATCTCAAGTAATGTCCGTCAAGTCAAAGGTTAAATAGTTTTTTTGACCGAATGTAGCTAAGGATGAAGCCATAGGCTATGCCGAAGGTAAGTTTTTGACCGAATTTCGCTGAAGGCCAAAGGTTTCGCCGAAGATTAGCCGAAGGTATCTAAAACTTAAACTGAAGTTTCAGTCGAATACTAGTGTCAAATAATAAGAAATTTGCTTAAAAAATTCATTACAATATGCCAATGCGTCGTCACATTGGGAAATTTTGTAGACAACTTAGCAAGCAAATGGTCGATGACGACAATATCTTAATTTCTTATGACGCCTACACTTTAGGTTTATAACTCTTCTGATGAGTCACCTGTAGGAATGTCTTCTTGTGAAAAATAATTCTGTTACGACGCGAACTAAAAACAGACCTCAGTAGGATAACCTACACATAGACGCGTAAGTCATGCATTCCGAGCAATTCACGGCAACCCACTAAATGGGCCCGCCAGTGTAGTTGTAGCTTCGTATCAAAAGTGTGAAGTGTGGCCAAGCACTAGTCAACTTTAGGTTGTAGCAACGAGAATACAATGCACCTCGCGTCCACTCACATACAGTGGATGTCTTTAAGGACAATCGAGTGTATTGTGATTTAACTTTTTTTTATAGGATAAGAGTGATAAACGAGCACACAGTCCCCCTGATGGTAAGTGGTTGCTGTGACCTATACACATCTACATTTATCCTCGATTACGAATCAAAATGTAGATGCGTTGTCACCCGTGAGGACTAAGATGGAATACCTCGTTTCCAGTAAAAAGGGTCTCCGGTTCTCTACACTCACCATACGAAACACAGCAACATTAAGTTGCTACTTTACGCTGCTATTCTGTGAGAGCGTGGTCCTTCCCCGGTCGAGCCGACCCATTTATGTTACAACTGTACCAGAAATATAGCTGCAGCATGGCTCTACCACGTAACTTAACTAACTACAAGAAAAAGAAAACACTCTCAATTCGACAATTTTTTTGTATGCATTGTAGTTAATCGATATATTTAGTCTTTTAAACTTAACTTCTGAACATAAGGGATTCTTCCCGGAGGATTTGTCTTGATCGTCACGCTTGGCAAGCGGATTGACAATATCAGTACCGCCCGTCGCTGGTCTTGAGTATTTTACTCATGGTGTAATCTAGATAGTTATAACACCGTCTTTTGGAATCCACAAGTCTACTTGGCCATTTCTCATAGTCGCCCCTTACGACACACGCAAGATCACACTGAATGACGGATTCTTTCACCCCTACCATACAACAAAACCTCAGTGCGTGCTGATTCTAACGTTGCGTGCGTGCCGCAGCAATCGTTCACGTCGAACTGGCCGCGCGCGCTGTGGCTGGCGGTGGACGCGCGCGGGCTGACTCTGCTGCGGCGCGGCGCGCGTGCGGCGCTCGTGTCGCACGACCTCGCGCAGCTGCTGGCCGTGTCGCCCGCGCCGCGCGCGCTGCTGCTCGTCACGCGCGCCGACCGCAAGCACGCCAAGCTCGTGCTCTCCACCGACCAGGTACGAGCGCAGCACGCGCACGCGCAGCTCGTGTCGCACGACCTCGCGCAGCTGCTGGCCGTGTCGCCCGCGCCGCGCGCGCTGCTGCTCGTCACGCGCGCCGACCGCAAGCACGCCAAGCTCGTGCTCTCCACCGACCAGGTACGAGCGCAGCACGCGCACGCGCAGCTCGTGTCGCACGACCTCGCGCAGCTGCTGGCCGTGTCGCCCGCGCCGCGCGCGCTGCTGCTCGTCACGCGCGCCGACCGCAAGCACGCCAAGCTCGTGCTCTCCACCGACCAGGTACGAGCGCAGCACGCGCACGCGCAGCTCGTGTCGCACGACCTCGCGCAGCTGCTGGCCGTGTCGCCCGCGCCGCGCGCGCTGCTGCTCGTCACGCGCGCCGACCGCAAGCACGCCAAGCTCGTGCTCTCCACCGACCAGGTACGAGCGCAGCACGCGCACGCGCAGCTCGTGTCGCACGACCTCGCGCAGCTGCTGGCCGTGTCGCCCGCGCCGCGCGCGCTGCTGCTCGTCACGCGCGCCGACCGCAAGCACGCCAAGCTCGTGCTCTCCACCGACCAGGTACGAGCGCAGCACGCGCACGCGCAGCTCGTGTCGCACGACCTCGCGCAGCTGCTGGCCGTGTCGCCCGCGCCGCGCGCGCTGCTGCTCGTCACGCGCGCCGACCGCAAGCACGCCAAGCTCGTGCTCTCCACCGACCAGGTACGAGCGCAGCACGCGCACGCGCAGCTCGTGTCGCACGACCTCGCGCAGCTGCTGGCCGTGTCGCCCGCGCCGCGCGCGCTGCTGCTCGTCACGCGCGCCGACCGCAAGCACGCCAAGCTCGTGCTCTCCACCGACCAGGTACGAGCGCAGCACGCGCACGCGCAGCTCGTGTCGCACGACCTCGCGCAGCTGCTGGCCGTGTCGCCCGCGCCGCGCGCGCTGCTGCTCGTCACGCGCGCCGACCGCAAGCACGCCAAGCTCGTGCTCTCCACCGACCAGGTACGAGCGCAGCACGCGCACGCGCAGCTCGTGTCGCACGACCTCGCGCAGCTGCTGGCCGTGTCGCCCGCGCCGCGCGCGCTGCTGCTCGTCACGCGCGCCGACCGCAAGCACGCCAAGCTCGTGCTCTCCACCGACCAGGTACGAGCGCAGCACGCGCACGCGCAGCTCGTGTCGCACGACCTCGCGCAGCTGCTGGCCGTGTTCTCTAACCAACCAGGTATAACCGCAAGTACACCGAGCTCGTTCGAGTACGACCGCAAGCTCGCCGAGTTCATGCCCACTGCAAAAGCCTCGAGTCCCTAACTCCCTTATAACAATCCTATTACGATTGTTTTGTTGAAACAAACTATCCAACAACTAAGTGAAGAATTCAAAAGGTACTAGTACATCAACATCATCATTACAGCCTTTCATAAGTCCACTGCTGAACATAGGCCTCCCCCAAGGAATGCCACAAAGCACGGTCCTGAGCCACCTGCATCCATCGACTTCCTGCATGTCTTACCAGGTCGTCACTCCATCTCGTGGGGGGTCGCCCTACACTTCGCCTACCGGTACGAGGCTGCCACTCACGAACCTTTCTTCCCCATCGGTTGTCGGTGCTTCGAGCTATATGGCCGGCCCACTGCCACTTCAGCTTACTAATCCGTTGGGCTATGTCGGTCACTCTGGTTCTACTGCGGATATCCTTGGGAGACACTATTGAGGTCATTGAGCATGGTGCTTAGGTCCTCCAGCGATTCTACCATACGGACTATATCGTCGCCAAATCGAAGGTGAGTGATGTACTCGCCATTGATGTTAATACCGTATCCTTTCCAGTCCAGAAGCTTGAAAATGTCTTCCAATGCAGCGGTGAAGAGTTTCGGGGATATAATATCACCCTGTCTTACACCTCTCTGTAATTGGATAGGTTTCGTACTCTGGTTCTGTACTTGGATAGCCATCGTAGCCCTACTGTACAAGCACTTCTGCACTTCGATATACCGACAGTCAACTTGGCACCGCTAAAGGGACTGCAGCACCGCCCAAATTTCGACGGAATCAAATGCTTTCTCATAATCCACATACGCCAGGCATAGTGGCAAATTGTACTCCTCGGACTTCTCTACAACTTGCCGAAGGGTATGTATGTGGTCTATGGTGCTAAACCCCTTTCGGAAACCGGCTTGTTCGGGAGGCTGGAAGTCGTCAAGTCTGTGCGCGAGACGATTCGTAATGACTCTCGAAAACAGCACGTAGACGCGGCTCAGAAGGGAAATTGGTCTGTAGTTCTTCAAGAGAGCGTTGTCACCTTTCTTGAAGAACTAGACCACCGCACTTCTGCTCCACGCCTCCGGTGTAATGCCACCATGGAGAACGGAATTAAAGAGCTTCTGAAGGACTTCAAGTACCGGTTTTCCACCCGCTTTCCGAAGCTCCGCTGTAATTCCATCCTCGCCTGAAGCCTTGCAGTTTTTAAGATGCTGGAGAGTCATTCTAATCTCGCTCAGACTGACGTCCGGGATATCTTCGGAATAGTGTCGGATAAGTCTCGCTCTTGGAACGTTACTCACACTTGCGTGTGGCTCCAACGATGACGTGTACAGCTGCCCATAGAACCTCTCAATCTCACTCAAAATCTCAGGTGCCCCGGAAACGATGCTGCCACACTCGGTCCTTGGACAGTTGGCTCTTTCTGGCAGACAGATCTCTGGCAAAGACTTTGGAGCCTTGGTTCCGCTCGATCGCTTCTTCAATACAAGCTGTATTGAAGTTGCGTAAGTCCCGCCGCATGCATTTGGAGATCTGTCTGTTCAGTTGTCTGTATGCTGTCAAATCTGTTGAAGAATGTAGCTTCATCTCCCGTCTAACAGCCATGAGATTGAGAGTGTGATCGGAGAGTTTTTGTGTTCTTCTGCGGCGGGTGTTGCAGAACTTAGCTCCGACCGCATGGACAGTTTCCACGAGCTTGTCATTCATATCGTCCACTTCATTGCAGTTTTCTAGGCACTGAAAACGGTTTTGTAACTCGAGCTGAAAGGTTTCAGGACTTTGGAACAGAGCACGAGGTGGACGGAGCGTTGACTTCATTAGACGAGACCTCTCCAACTTAACGTTTAGGTTCAGTGTGCCTCTAACCATTCGGTGATCGCTACCAGTTTTCACCCTCGCGATCACGGAGACGTCACTGAACAGTTGTCGTCTGGTCGTCATAATGAAGTCAATCTCATTTTTTGTCGAACCGTCGGGGCTCGACCAGGTCCACTTTCTGTGGGGCCGCTTCTGGAAGAAAGAGTTCATCATAAAGAGTCCCTCTTTCTCCATGAAGTCGGCCAGCTGCTGGCCCCTTGGATTCCGTTGCTCTATTCCAAATTTCCCTACTTTCAGCTCACCGTTCTCTCTTGTGCCTAGTTTTGCATTGAAGTCTCCCATTAACACCGTATATTGGGTTTTGGAGGAATGCATGGCTCTAGAGATATCCTCATACATTTTCTCCACCTCCTCATCGGGGTGTGCCGAGGTTGATGCGTAAACCTGTATGACCTTCAGCAAATACCGTTTGGTGATTCTGAGTAAAATGTACGCAACCCTCGTCGACACACTCGATTTTTACAACGTTGTTAACGAGAGACTTGTGGACGATAAATCCGACACCTCCTTGGGACAGATGGTTGCCCTCCCGGTGATAGAGCAAGTTGCCGGATTCGAGGATTACCGTGTCCTCCCCCTCTCTTCGGACTTCTGGATCCTATAATATGCCAGCGTAACTTGTCTATCACTTCTTCCAGCTCCACGATCTTCTCGTCAGTCCTCAGGGTGCGTACGTTGTACGTTACCAGGTCGAGTCGTCTAAGGTGGCAACCGAACCTCCACCGGAGATTCTTAGCACCCCCTGCCCCGCCGTTACCATGGTCGCCACCGTAGCCAGGAATAGCGGGGCCGCCGGGGACTGGGGGCCGTCTCTTTGTTACTCTCTTCATAGGGGGGTATTTGCCATAGTTGCCACGCTTGGCGAGCGGGTTGGCAACCGCAGTTTTTTTTTGTAATTTCGGCTACTATCAGGAAGATGCTGCTGCCCATCTCCTGCCTGTTTCCCTTTGTCGCCTTTTACGACACCCACGAGAAGATATGGGGTAATGGATATTCTTGACCGCCACTACACGGCTACTACTCACTACGGTGTAATATTTTTTTAATTGAATGCAATAAAACTGTACTAAAATTAACTGATATTCCTAAAAGTGCCGATACTACATAATATGTTAAAGTTACTGCTTATATACGTCTCACTGAATACAGGCCTTCTCTCATTCTGAAAGGGTGATGGAGAAAATAGTTACTTTGAGCTAGTTGGTACAAAGATGAATGATAAATAATATGTAATAATAGTCAGTTTATCTCTATGAGTTAACGTCTGAAAGAGCCTTTAACCCGTGATAAACCTGTTTTTTTTTTTAGTTTTTTCTAAGAATCCATCTGGGTAGGTTCCACTATCTTCTGAATTCTGCTGCTAAATAGCACTGTTGTTCCGGTCAGAGGGGTATAGATAGAATGTTTCGTAGCCTGTAATGGTTGTGAAATATTCTATCTTAGTCCTCATTGATAATAATAGATGCTATAGTTGTTAGGCTTGGACAAAAAATATTATTGAAATATCGATGTTTTTGAAAAATATCGATATATATCATCGATATTTTTAATCGCAATATATCGATATTTATTGTAGAGTATCGAATTCGTATATATTTTTAAATGTTCTATTAATGACAAAACATTAAACAACAAACGGAGGTACAAAAGTATTCATGTGTGGTTGGTTGTCATTTTCGCCGTTGTTTTTTTTGTAATACCGTCATTAATAGAAAATTTTGGACCTTATCTTTACATTATGGAAATAATGACGATATATCGATATTTATCACGCGACATATGTCGATACTGTTTAAAAATATCGATTCGATGTATATCGATATATTTTTTTCCCTTGCCCATCCCTAAAAGTTGGTTACAGGTGTCAATAGGCTGCTGAAGCCACTTATCATCAGGTGGACTGTAAATTTGGCACTTCCGTCCGAAAAAAAAACGAGCTATTAGAGCGTGTATCAAGATTCTGCCTGTAGCTTATGTGCTAATATAAAGCATGCCAGGAGATCGCAAGCCGTTTGATTTTTTATCTTACCCCCCGCAAGTGGGGAAGTAGACTGCAGCTTCATTATAATTGCAGTATGAGTGGGTCAGCTTGACCCGGGTAGGAACTTGTTCTCAGAGAGAACCGGAGACCTTTTACTTGTAATGGGGCATTCCAATTTAGTCCTCAGGGATGGCAAGCGCATCTACATTTTGATTCCATATGGAGGATAGATGTAGATGTCTATTGGCTTCCAGTACTCACTTACCATCAGGTGGACTGTGCTCGCGCGACACCCTTATTCTATAGAAAAATGCCGTCACTAACAAGTGTGGTTCTGGCGCAGGCGTACCAGATCGCGACGCTGATCAAGGACTACATCGAGGCGGTGCGCGGGCCGGTGTCGCCGGCGGTGGCCGAGCCGGGCGGCGCGCGCGCCTCGTGACACCCGCCCGCCTAGTGCCAGTGCTTCCACGTCCGCTGAGCCAGCGCCGGCCGCGTCGCCCGCTGAGCCCACGTCGCCCACGTCCCCCGACACTAGCCCACGGTACACTAACTACACTCACATCACACGAACTACCACGACATCACACGAAATAACCCAACGTCACACGAACCAGCGTGACTTCACACGAACTAGCACGACATCGTCTAAACGAACTCAACGTCTTTGAATTCCATCAACGTCGTCTAACTAGCATGATATCGCTGTTATTAAGTTTTTTTTTTTAATATACAATTACACACAAACAATTTGACGTATTTCGACCTTTTCCAAAATCTAAGGAACTTTCTCGAAATTAGCCCCTTTTAAACCGTTTTTTTCTTTCAAATACATCTCAGGCATAACTTGATACGCATACATATAAATATCAAGTATCAATCCCAAGAAATAGTCTACAAGAACTTTTATCTATATTTTTAATTTTGACGTTAACGTGAGATGTCGTGTCAGTGATAAATGATTACTAAAGAGCATGTGGGTCTAACGTAAGTTTGGGCGATCAACGCTCGCGTTCCGGAATTGTAGGAGTTGGATTTGTATGTAAGTCAAGTTGGAGGAGTAAATGTTGATATGATATATTACAATAGTTCGTGTATCATCTCCATAGTTGGAAATGAGCTAACGGGAATCATTGTGATATACAGAGAATAGGTTCTAGAGAATTCTAGAATATTATAGTTTTTTAGGTCAATGCTAGATATCACATCAATCCACATTTACTTCATAGAAACGACAGTTCAAAGTGGTGTTTGGTTATGAGTGTCAGAATGGACGATCACAGTTGCCAGAAGACGGGGAAGCAAAACAAAATTACAATAAAAGTACACAAATAGCTCAACAGGTGTAAATTTTCAATTAAAAATAGATTCTATATTCCGCTCTAGACTTACAATAAATGTACTATATCAGTATTATTACTGTTAAAAGGCATGTGTTATGTGGTTAGTTAAATTCTCAATTTTTGTCTCATAGCGCATTAAGATTGTTAAGAAGTTTCTGGTGTTAAAATAATGCGTGTAGGTACTCATATCCCCTCTTAGTATGGCTAACTATTAAGTCCTAAACTACTAAGTTATCGACGTTGTATTCCACTTCCGTAAACATAGGCTGTATGATGTAACAATTGCTTAAGAGTATATAATGAAAATAATTATTATTCCATAGACTATGAAATAACCCAGAGTATGAGGGCATCCACAACTTTTCTGCCACCAGGGCGGCGCCACTTAAAATGAGGTGTAATTTGACATATTTCATAGCAGGGAAGTTTTAATTTATTCGAAAATGTAAAGATTAATATTCTGTACTATTAGTTATATTTTATATTAATAAAATTAAATATAAATAAACCAAACCACAGATATTCGTAAAAGTAAAAACATAAAAAAAAAGAGTTAAAAAAGTGCAAAAAATTAAAGAGCAAAGCACTGAGGCATTGTTTTGTGTATTAATATAATACACTAGAAACCAATCAACTTAATCAAAACTAACTTGTCAATTAAATGACATTGTGTAACAAAAAAAAATCTCCTCAGTGTCAACTAGCGACATCTGGTGAGCGGAAGATTACTAGCCCTCATTGTATACCTGTCAAATGATGACAACCTCTATAATATTAAATCATAATGTAGTAAAATGTCGGTATCATTATATGCACTATGCCAACCCACTTTATACTTATAATATTACGGCGCGAAGCCAGATTCTCTATTACGTATATCGGTGTCTAAGTAGATGTCCTAAAGTATTCCTATATATATCTAAATATATCTCACCACAGATTCCTAATCAATAGATTATATAGTGTTTCGCTTCTTCAATTGTCTATATGCGTATTAATGTAATATTTATATACATATTTACAAAGGTATATATTATTAATATATAATATATGATTGTTCTCATAGTGAGCATATTAAACAGTTCTCTTCAGTCCCGAAGTATTGTTTTGTGCCTTGTATATTTGTTGAAGCTTCAATGATGTTACAAACTAAGGCTAGCCATAATTTAAATATCAAATATTTACAAATATAAATTTCTTTTTAACGAAACAAGCGTTTTTAAAATTTTATTTTATTGGTTTTTGTTTCTTGATTAAAATAAATTTGACGGTTGAACAAATGAGACAATAATTCTCACTAGTTGCACGATCGAACTAATGAATGGAACTAGTGAGAACAAAGGAATTAGATATAAACGGCAGACAGATATCCTACAAATTATTTCTCTGGGTCTAGATGTTTGTCCGTTTGATATTATGTATATAAAACGCATCATACATCCCGTGAGCGTTATGTTTCGTATATTTCAGCATTATGATTTTACTACTTTAAACAAGAGGCTAGCCAAGTGAAACACATTGCAAGCAAATTTGGTGAGTAAATTTGTGCAAATTTATTGTGACTGCAAAATAATTACTAATTGTTTTGGAATAATATATCTTCTATCATGCATATTATTACATTATATTGCACAATGTTATGTCTCAATATTTTATATAGTAAATGTAATTATAACGACAAATTAATATAACGTAAATTTAAGTATTTCAGTAGGGTTAGCCAAGTTGACTTGATGATAGATAACTATAAAATTAATGAAATCAATGTTAAGTCACATTTATTTTACATTGAGATTGTCATTCCCATTCATTTTTATAGTTCACTATGAATTGTTAGATGATAGAAAGTTAACTTGGCTAACACCACAGTTTAACTAAAAGAACAAAAGTATAGTGTCTCCACCAACTAACTCACCATGAAATAGCGTGGCTGATTTTGCTTTCGGCCATTTCATATAATGAGGCTTCTGCTCCATGATATAATGAAACTGCGTTTACAATGATTATAGCCAAGTTGGTGCTTAGATAGACTCATTACATTGTTGGTTCTGATCTCATATGAAGTATTATTTATTTAGATGCCATAATGTGTTTAGTATGGGCAAGTTTTAATTAGGTTTATTTATTTTTTTCTTTGTATTTTACATATGTACATATAAATGTGAAAACCAAAGACTTCAATTGATCCCTTTGGATTTGGATTTATTTTTATAATTGACAATTTTATTATTAATTTCAACTTTTAATTTACTGTAATATTTAATGTAATATACTTTACTATTTTTGACTTAAAATTCGTTTTAAAATATGTTTGTCTAACTGGTTTCAGAGCTGTTTAATTTCAATTGTTTCTTAAAAGTAACTACTGCGCATATTCATAGTGAAAATAAATGTTCTTTTAAAATATGTTTAGAATTCACTGCAATGAGCTAGACAAACATGTTTAAAGGACTCTACTAGATCAAGGAATTAAAGCAATTGGCATTCAATGCAAATAAAAAACAGAAATTTTTGTACACAAACTTCTTTGAATATTATAATGTATTTCAATTGTTTTACTAAGTGACAATTTGAGTGACATGAATATAACGTGATTTAGACTTCAGTTGTTATTTGTTCCAAAAGCGTTATTGTGGCGCGACGACAGGCGGTCTACAGTTAGACTATTTAAGGCACTAAGTATCCTTTATTAGATTAAGAACTGTATTTTATATTATTGAAAGTACTAATAGACAGATCAACTAACATTACCACAATCATACTGCCCAAATAGACTGAAATGTCCCAAATATTATGTCTTTTTTGATGCATTGTTTTTGTTACATTGTGTAATGTATTTTTTACCCTTTTAATTGAATGCCAAATAAATAATAACAAACATTGTTGGTTTTATTTCATATTTTATTTTTATGCTTAAAATAAATTTACCTTAATTAGATAATAAAATATTATTACTGCGTTACCAGGCCTAAATAGTCGTCCATCAAAGTCCCAATTGCGAACTGTAAAAAAGGAAATGATCATTCAAATTAAATCTCAAAAATTAATTTATATTTTCAATTTCAGTAATTAGGTAATTACTTCTATTGCTCACTGAATTGTGGTTTCTAAATCCAAAAACTGGAAGAAATCCATATTTGTTGCATAGGGAACACATTTAAATATTGCTACAATGAAGTCGAAATATAGTGTACTATATTTCGACTCCATCTGTCATAGGTAAGGTTCTCCCATCTCATATAATATGTCAATGAGTTTAGTTGACTTTCAAAAATCATTAATATTGTTTTTATTTTTATATTTTTTTGCATCATTATAGTTTTCTTATTAGCTATAATGTCCTTCAGACTGAATTTCAGTCATGGTGGCCAGCCTCAACGGAGACTAGCCTTTGGCGCAGTACAAGATTTAGTGCCCGAGTGTATGCACCGACACAGGTGTACTCTCTAATCCCTCACCCTCATGGTCAGATGGGATGAACAACCAACATAACCGGAGAGAGATCAGACACAGGACCAACGACTTTACTTGCTTTCCGAGGCATGGGGGTGGAACACCACCAACTTCCTAACTCCGGGCAGCTACTGAGAATTTCTTGATAGAAAATAACAGATTTTTTTGGCCCGACCAATCCAAACCTGGGACCTCATGATGCATAGTCGTACTACTACAATTACTAGACCAATGAGTTGTTAACTATAACAATTGTAGAAATTCAACTCAATTAAGCCCACATTCCACATATAACATAGGAGATGGGAATTCATTGGCATGGGTACAGGTGAAATTGAAAACTTGCCAAACCTGAGGCAAAGGTCCATTTCCAGCAAAAGGCAGTTCATAGTAACCAGGCTGGTGCAACTTCCATAGTAAAAATTATATGTACTACAGGGGTCAAATTTTAATGACGGCTATCTCTTCTCTCTGTTTTTCGTAATATGTCTATTAATGACATTGTCAAATCAAATAGAGTCAAATGCCAAATCAAACAATTATATTTGTATATATTTTATTCATTAAGATTGCTTTTAATTTTGCTATAGGAACCGTTGTTCATTTACAGAATTGTTAAAAAATTAAATATGCATTATAAAACTTTCCAATTAAATGGTACAAGAAGCAGAAAAAATGATAACAAGAAAAGGCTATTTGTAGCAATATTTCCCTTAGATGACGAAAGGTATGTGGTGATTTCAACTTTAATTGTAATATGATATTTAACGCGAGTACATTTTTAGACTAGCCATCTACATAGGACAGGTTTTTACAGTGTATGATTGTGTGCACAAATACACACACTATTTCCTAAATCTGATAGTTCGATGGTATGGCAATCCCAAACGAACTATACTTAGAAACTACACAGTCAATTGTGAATGCTAACATTCTATTTGTTTAATAAAAATGTGATTTTAGTTATGTTATTTTTTCAGATGCAAGCAATGGGTGAAATAGCTGGCACATGTACCAATTGAAAAGATTCAAATGTTAAAACATATTTGTAGCAAACATTGGATTTGAACCCAACAAATGCGAACTGTTATTTCATCATTGGACTTAATTTAAACTTCCACTTCCACTGTTAATTAGGTTTCATTTATATGTAGCAAAAGATAATACCCCTCTAAAGACACATTTTGGTAAGAATTCGATTATATAAATTAACTCAAAGTTATTTGTAATTACCTGGTTATAAATAATTTTTTTATAGATTCATCTACAAACATTAGCTATAATGAGCACTCATTCTGAAAGCGGCAATTGTAAGCGATCTCTGCGAATACTATGTCCAGCCTAGCGATTTGTACATAGTATTTGTTAACATAAAAGTAATTTCATCCAGTGTTAAAAACCTAATATTTTTACCCTTAAAAAAAAACAAACGTTGAAAACAATCATCCAGACGCAGACTATTTTATTTACAGCATAGCAACAATTGTTCAGTACGGGAACAAAGCCTCGGTCCTGCAATGCCACAGCCAAACGCTTAGCCACTGTGCTACGGAGTCGTCGTTTATTTTTTACTTAATTACTAGTATAATAGTACGTTTTTTATTTTATATTTTCTTTACACATATTTTTGTACCTAATTGTAGAGATATAATTACAAATTGCTGGGAGTAAAATACATTGATTTCTTATAACTGCATTTTTACTCAATCCCCACATTAAAAAAATTATTTCTAATAAATAATTCAGTATAGAGATCTAACTTTTATTATGTAAAAATATCGATAAACAATATATCGATAAAGGTTATACTTATATCAATAAAATTATTCGAGGATAGACATTTACAGTACTATTGTAATTCGTCAATGTTATCAACACTGTTTGCCAAAACTAAATGTCATATCTTGATGATGGTAGAGTAGCTTGGTGTATTTTCATGCATTTACTTTTACTATGGAAGTCCCACCTCTTAAACGTAGTGGTTATATTCTCTTTGATAGTAACTATAAAACGCCCACTAAAAAAATTATACCAATTTGAAAAATGATAATTTTAGCTTATCAATCAACTTACAATGCCAGTTGCATCCACCCTGGTGCCCACAATCTTCAATCTAATAACATCCTCTTCCTGTATAACATTGTCTTCCTGTTTACTCTTGTAGCATGGGGGGTTTACATTTGGACAAAACTCCATATCTGCTGGAATTGACTGCAACAGGTAAAATATTGTATAATATAAATACAATAATAATATATAATATAAAATATATTATATATTATGTAATACTTAATATGTAATATAGATAAGACAATAAAATGTCAGTTTATATCAGATGGTTTTAAATAAATACTTCCTAATCCCAATTATTTGGCACAGTAAAAAAATCTAAATATATTTTTTTCGAAAATCTAACCCAGCCATTATATATTCTTCATTGAAATCAATCTAATTAATAATCATTTCTCTGTATAAAAATACATGTGTCGGTGCCTCGTAGATCTATGAGATCAACCTGTAGAAATAGCTTTTGAACTGGGCGCTGGTCTCAATATTATGTATGTACGCAACTACCAGAGTTTAATCCTCAATTGCACCACTTACAATTTAAGGTGCTAATTTTGTTGTATTCTTCTAATTTTGAGGACATGTGAATCTCTCCAGTGGACCTCTACTGGCATAGCAAAAATGTTCTAAAACCTCTTCCAATTGTAGGATATATACAATTTGGACATATAATACATAATTCAGACAGCTACTGATATAAGCATCTGGATCTTAACTAAGGTTGATGCACACTAAAATAAATATTAGAATCAACCCATTGTGATCCCGATTTGCAATGAAAACCTTGATCCTTTTATGTTTTTATTTAAAACCAAAAATATAGAAAGCAAGGATATTATTTTAAGAACTTACATGATGGGATATAAAACAACTTAATGGACCTATCTGTGCGAACATTCCAACCTGTAACCCAGAAAAATTTAGATTAAAATAATAACAATATGCACTCACACACTTACCGATAAATACCCAAATATACAAGCATACACACTACAACAGTTCACACACACTGCATTGGTCTAATTATAACATTATTGATAAATAAAACAGAAAGTAGATGTATGAAATTGGGTGCTTGACATTGTTCCTAACAGTTATACAAAAATATGTAGGTAATAAACAATAAATTGTAAGCATAGATAAATGGTTTTTATTTCTGTAATGCTTGGAACAATCATAAAAACATTTTTTTTAAACTGAAATAGAAAGCTAATGATTTTGCTTTACCAAAAACAAAATGTTTTTAAACATACTTTTGTATTTCGTTTATGGCAATAGATTATGAAGGCTATTTTAAGATATGCCTTGATTGCAACGCTTGACAAGAGGTTTGACAATCACAGATATAGACGTCTCGCATTCCCCCAACAATGGTCTTAGTATTTTATGTATGGTGTAATCAAGATGAACATACCATCATCCATCATAAACCAGAGTTCCTATGGGCATGTTGCATAGTTATCTCTTACAACACCTATGAGACAAAATAGGGTCTTATGCCACCATCACATAGCAATTACGCATCCAAGATCAAGGTCAAAGGTTGTGAGATATCTGGTATAGCAGACATATGTTCAGCAATGGGCTACTTAAAGGTTGGGGAAGCATAATTTATAAAATAACACGACTTTTATTTTTACAAGAATATTAAGACCGCAACTTAAATGATAGGTTTTTCAACAATGCAAAGGTCTTTGTTTAGTAGTAAACTACTGTTACCAATAATTCTTTAAAATAATATTTTTGATGCTTTAACTTCACACTTAATATCATAAAATCTTCTACAGTAAATAACTATACCTTATTAACTTGTGTGACAATTGCATCAAGAACCTCTCCCTTAAAAGGCCTAAAAACAATTGCCTTGTACTTAACAGGATATACTACAAATCCTTGGCCTGGTTGGATAAGACCTGCTCCAATACTGTCTATTGTAGTTACTGCTATAACAAATCCATATCTACAACAATATTGTAATAAATTATTAAGTTTGTTCCTCCATTGGCTATTATTGGTTCTACTATTTAATGACATGCACAGCTATGGATAAACGACAAATAAAACATATAAGCGACATGGGTTTTGCCCGTAAGAAACTGTCGTTTATCAAAGAACTTTTACAACTGTAAAAAAATAGATATGTACAGTAAAATGTGCCATAGCTGCACCGGGACCATATGCTGATATGGCACTTTAACAAATATGCCACTTCATGTTTAATCAAACGAGGATAAAGGTAAAAGGCAAGGAATAACGATTTAATATACATTTAAAGAACGAAAATAAAACACATAACCTAGAATATTGGTACAGGTTCTCTCTATTACCAAGTTTAAATGTTTTATTAAGCTGAAACTGTATAAAAAGGGTTATTATAGTATAAATGAATACATGGTTGATAATAACCCCTGGGAATGAGGTGATCGCTTCCAAGCAGTTTCTAAAATAAATTTTGTAAATAGTTCGTAATCATTTCTATTGTAAAATTTATTTAAAAAAAAAGTCCCGCTGGGTTTCTTGCTGGTTCTTCCCAGGACAGAGGGTTTTTTCGAACCAGTGGTAAAGTAAAAAATGACTTTCAATAAGAATTACACATGTAATGTATATTGAATAAAAAAAAAATATTCTATTCTATTAAAATTGAAATACATACTTGCCGGTGCAAGTACCTTCAACTTCGGTATATAGTTTCTGTTTAACCGTATCGAGTAATTGAGGCCCAAAGTATCGTGGATGTAGCAATATTTCATGTTCTAAAGATATCTGCGAATATAAAAAAGGAACTTTTATCACTTTATGGCGCGCATATTTTAACAAATACAAAGAATAAAAGTACTAACGTGGTAGAACATTCTAGATTTAAGCCTCAATACTTGATAAATTTTGGTTCAATAATACATATCTAGTGGAAACTATACGAAATGAGTATGTAGGGATTTTAAAAATTACTGTTTACACTTTTACAACAGCTTTGCGGCTTTGACCAGCTTTGCTTTGACACTTTGACATTTTGATACACACCACACAGATAACAGATTTTTTTATAACTGACTTTACGGCTCTGGGTTCTAGCCTTTCTGAGCCTGACGTTAAAATGTGCAATTACCCTTCATAGTACACTGCGTCACAATATGTTGATGCGTCACATTGTGCAGCCCTTGGGAGATTTTGACGGTAACTTGAGCCAGCAGAGCAGTGTTGCCGATTTGTGGGGAATTCCCCAAACTGCGGGGAATCTCAAGTTGATTGAGGATTTATTGTGGACTGGCATTATTCGAGGAAAATGCGGGGATTTTAACATCTTACTACTTAACCACTTTTGCGACAATTCCAAACATTTTTATATTTTTTTTAGTTTAGTTACTTATAGATAACAGACGACTCAATATTCTTTCGCCAATCGTAAAATTGTTTTGTGTATCTTATAATGTTTTTAGTGTTTATACATTTCTTTCTACAGATTTCGTGTTTATTCCAAATTTATTAAAAAATACTTTGGCGACACCTAGTGGCTATTGTGAATATTAATACAGAATTTTCATGGACTTGTATAGTTTGTGGTTTAATTTATTTTCTTATTAGTAGCAGTATATTCCATTAAAAGCCTACTTGACAGAAACAGTCTTCTCAGATCCATCAAAGACTACCGAAGAAATGCTGATTACAATGAACAACCAATTCACTGTGGTATATTTGGAATTCATGTCTTATGTACTTGCACTGGTAACAAAATTCAATGTCTTATTTCAATCAGAAACATCCCTTCTTCACAAATTTAAACCAGAAGTCGAAAACCTTTTGAAAACATTGTCTTCTAATTTCATGAAAATTAGAAGACAGAGTTTTTTGTTTATATTGGATCAAAGGCTGGAGAAAGTATGGAAAATTTAAAAAATTATAAAAATGTATCTCGTGCTACTATTGCAGATTTCTATAGAACCTGCCAGGAGTTTTATATTGAATTGACATCAGACATTACCAAGCGATTTGAGTTCGGGGATCTTTTCTTTTCTATTATATCTGCTGTAAATCCATGAGAAGCTCAAATTTTTTTGTGTTTTATAAATTAGTGACTGCACAAAATTTAGATGATGAGTTAGATGACTTCGCCTCACGCTTTGTTACATTTTGATCAACATGGGCTTGAAATTCATGGAGATAACATCGAAGCCGAAAGTTACTGGGGTAAAGTGTTTCGCCTTAAAAATGCTGCTGGAGAATACATGTTTCCAAACATAAAAATTGTTACGCCTTTGTTGCTCATACTGCCATTTTCAAACGCATCGGTCGAAAGAAAATTTAGTGCGCTTCGATATTTAAAAACAGAAAACCGCAATCGGCTAAATACAGATACTGTAATATCTTTAATGTCAACAAGAGAGGGGATAAAATAATTGGGCGGCAGTGTCAAGTTTAAATTTTTAATCCTTCGAGCAAAATGCTTGCATCAAACGTATGAAAAAAGGTTGAAAAATAAACATTATTTAAATAGTTGAGACTTGTTTCATTGATTAAAATATAAAATTATATTGAGAGGAATTTGTGGGGAATCAGCAGATTTTTGTCCCCAAATTTGGGGAATTTTATTCGGATTTTTAGGGCATTACATACATTGGCATTGGCAGCTCTGCAACAAACAGCTGACAGTTGGCGATGGTATCTCAAGGCGCCTAAGCAGACAGACACCTTATTTTGAGAATCACATCACCATCAGAGCACTTGTTTTAGCGTTTCCACTAATAGTTCACATACGCAGACACTAAGTACACAAAATCGCACCACTTTTATATATCAAAATCCACTTCAAACCATTATTTAAACAATAATACAGGAGCAACAAACCGCTGCCGGTCAAGTGCCCGCCAAAAAAAAACAATATAACAGATAATTGTATGCTAGTGATACTAATCGGAGAGTTTGACACATTATTAAGCATTTGATCATTTGACAAAATTCTTATCTATGTTTGGAATTATCAAATTCCAGTAAAGATCTTAGACGATACAGCTTAATCTGACGTATTTTACCAAATTCTTCACAATTTATTAATGCTTCACTTGTAAAGTTTTTGATAGATTTTAAAGACAGCAAATAAATAACGGTGATAGAATCTCATACCGCCCAAGTGGACACACCAACTTGAGATATATTACCATCAAAGCATTGTAAATACCGCTTTCATTAATAGTTTACATGCACCACTTATCTCTATTATACAAGTATGCTAGACTGGCTACTAGGAGTGGTCGTTACAAAACGTAACCAGTTATGGAAACTATCTATTCATAAAATAGCGGGTAGTGGGTTATTGCAGTACAACGAAACTATCTATTACAGTAGACGTTTTACTCAGTAACACGTTTTACGAACGAGCGACCAGAATGAAATGTAACAAATCGTTTATTCGGCTATTTTCGCGCGTATCAGCAACGGCTTCGGCTCTTAAAGTGCCACTAATATCGAATACTATCGAATGTCGAGTGAGCACGGGTACGTTTTGTCTTTTTCACACCCACCTACACATAAATTGCTTTTGCATTTGACTTATCTTCGGATAAATGTGATATTAGAAATGAGAAAGTAAGTGTGCAAGTTATTTTTAAATAAAAATTATGTTCAAATTGCTTGAATTTGCGTGGCCTTTACCCTGTCTAAATTTGTCTCATGTTTGATGACACGGTTTGTTTTTTATTACTAATATAAAAGATTTTGTTTTGTGCAACGATAATAATATTTTTTGTAGTAAGATATGAAGAGAATACAATTGTATGTATGTATTATTATTTTAAATAAATTTAACTTAAGTATTAATTGTAACTTAATTAACTCGTCACCAGCCAGCCTTAAGTCTGGATAAACCATGAAGAAAATTTCATTGCAATATAAATCTTCTTAATACTAAAATCTCGATAACAGTAATATTAACGAAACGGAATCATCAAACATATTAATCAAGCTTTCTCGTGAAACGGCTACCGTTTTATTCGCCACGTTTTAAACACGTCCTGAAATACTCTATTGAAATCGCTATTAAAATAGAATGTTTCAAAAGCCGCTATTGATATTCGATAGGAAGTTTCTTTTCGTTATTCAAAAAAGTTATCCCCCTTTGCTACTGGCTACATACCGTGACATAATGAGGAGATTTGATTATCGCCATTTTGGTGCTGATAGCAAAAGTGAGCGTCCACGGAACTAATAATAGAGATAGGACAGTGCATTGTGACAAAATATATCGATAAAAATTCTATACATAGGCCTACCGATTTATATGTATGTATCATTTTAATATCATCATTTCATCATTACTGCCCTTTACAAGTCCACTTCTGAACATAGGCCTCCCCCAAGGAATGCCACAAAGCACGGTCCGGAACCACCTGCATCCATTGACTTCCTGCATGTCTTACCGGGTCGTCACTCCATCTAGTGGGGGGACGCCCTACACTTCGTCCGCCAGTACGAGGCCGCCACTCGAGAACCGTTTTCCCCATCGGTTGTCGATTCTTCGATCTATATGGCCGGCCCATTGCCACTTCAGCTTACTAATCCGTTCGGCTATGTCGGTCACTCTGGTTCTACTGTGGATATCCTCGTTTCTAAGTTTATCACGCAGAGAAACTCCGAGCATAGCCCTCTCTCATAGCTCGCTGAGCGACCTTGAGCTTCCTCATCCGGCCAGCAGTGAAGGACCACGTCTCAGTTCCATAAGTCATCACTGGCAACACGCACTGGTTGTACAGTCTCGTTTTCAAGTTTTGAGGTATACCTGACGAGAAGATGTGCCGTAATTTCTCGAACGCTGCCCATCCGAGTTGAATCCGTCGATTGACCTGTCGGTCGAAGTTGGACGTACCTTTTTTTTTTACATGGGGAAATGCCTACGCATGGGTAGGTGAGGCGGGTGCCTCGCGGGGGCAAAGACGGGTGTTGTCGGACTCGCACCGACTAAAACCCCATGGTATTCCACCTTCGTCGCATATTGGCAGGGCCACGGGAACGCTTTCACACACATCCGCAGCCCCACCTGCGCTGACCGCCCCATGGCGGCCTCTCCTCGGCAGAGGACTGCTCCTCCCCCAGCTCCTTTGCAGGTGAGGCGCACCAGAACACATGGCGCGCCCTCCTCCTCGGCCTCCAATTTCACATGCGCAACGGAAGCCCCCGTGTCCGATGCGCGAAGGCTATGGTGCCAGGAAAAACTAGCAGAAGCACCAGCCTTTCTGACCTCAGCGGCGGATCTGGTCTATGGCTCCGCCGCCAACCAAGATTCGGCTGCGGCGAGTAGGGAGAGTGGTGCCTCGCAATACCGACACTCCATTCCCCCCGCAGCCACACCACCACCGCATCAATTGACGGTGCGGCCCCGTCAGAGTCGCGGAGGATAGGGCGAGTGGCGCATCGTCATACCAACACTCCTCTTCCTCCGCGACTCCACCTCGGCTGCAGCGGTAGAGGGAGCGAACACCTCACTCACCGCAGCCCACCGACACACATCCAAAGTGGGCTCGCCAAGCCCACTCGGAGTGGCCACCTCTGGCCGGCCCTACACCACGGGCCAGCCAAGGGGTTCCTCTTTGTTCACCGTGGGTGATCAAGTCACGGCTACTAAGCCTCCCCACCACGACAAGGCGGGAACCCGTTTGGGGGGGAAGTTGGACGTACCTAGTCGGACTATTTGTCCCAGGTAAACATATTCGTCAACAACTTCGAGCTTAGTGCTCCCAACAACTACCGGCATAGGTGTCACATAAACGTTATACATGACCTTTGTTTTATCCATGTTCATCTTAAGACCTATCCGTTGGGAGACACTATTTAGGTCATTCGGCATAGTGCTTAGGTCCTCCAGCGATTCTGCCATAAGGGCTATATCGTCGGCAAATCTAAGGTGAGTGATGTAATCGCCGTTGATGTTAATACCGTATCCTTTCCAGTTCAGAAGCTTGAAAACGTCTTCCAATGCAGCGGTGATGAATTTCGGGGATATAACGTCACCCTGTCTTACA